GAGATGACAACTTCAAAGGTCATCTGACTTATAAAAAAAAGTGCAAAAGGCAATGAGCTATTTCCCCAAAAAAAGTTTTTATTATTACAAGTGCATTATCTTCCAGCAGTTGGTGCTAAACTGGTTGGGGGAAAAATTAATTATTGCTGGAAATTACTCATTGTAATGTCCAAAAGTAAGTGTGTACATTCCTGTGATGATACTGGATTGTCTTACTGCTCGTAGAAGCTTTGAACAGTTCATCCTCACTGCAATTTTAATGTGTTGGATTTGCATTTTTAGGTCCGATCTGGTGCAAATGTACTGATTTGTGGGCCAAATGGATGTGGGAAGAGCTCACTGTTTCGTGTTCTTGGTGAGGTAAGGGAACTTTTTAAAACAAGTGGGGGAGAATGCAAAGCACTGTTGTAGTTGGACTTTTTTTGTCAAGTTTTAACCTTTTTTCTTTTGCAGTTGTGGCCTTTGTTTGGTGGGCGTTTAACAAAACCCGTAAGAGGAAAGTTGTTCTATGTTCCCCAGGTGAGACTAAGTACTATACCTGACAGTATTTTCTCTTTCTCCTTTCACTATGTTTAGAAATGTTTGACATATCTCTTTGGTTCTAACTGTATCTCAGAGACCGTATATGACTCTTGGAACGCTCAGAGATCAAGTTATATATCCAGATACTGTGGAAGACCAGAGAAGGAAAGGGATTTCTGACCAGGTAATGATAATTAGTTCATTAACCCTTTGTCTTGCTTAGGATGAGTAATACTTCAGATTTAGAAATACTGAAACTGCTATTAAAACACTGCATTTAATTGGATTTTAATATTTACCAGGATAACATGATGGTTTAATCCTTTATAACCTTTTTCAACCACTTCTTTGTTAAGTTCATGTAAGCTCTATTTATGATTCTTATTTCCATAAAAGGTGCTGAAGGAGTACTTGGATAATGTCCAGCTGGGTCAAATCTTGGAACGTGAAGGAGGCTGGGATAGTGTTCAGGACTGGATGGATGTACTCAGCGGGGGAGAAAAACAGAGAATGGCGGTATGTCTCAAAAGCAAAAATGTTTAACAAATGCAGAACATAAGTAAAAAATATAATCTGAATTGTAAGCTAGTTTTGTTTACTAAGTTTTAAGATTTTACTTATAAGAAACCACCAAAATGAGAGATACCTGAATACTGAGAAAACAACTGAAAATGGTGTTTATTGCACTCGAAATTTAAAAGGAAATGTTGACCTTATACCACCCTTTAACCATGCCTTGTGCTTTCATTGTATAAACAGAAGTTTTAAAACAATTATCTTCAATAAAAAAGTAAAAATAATATACAACTCTTGGATTTTCAGGTTTCACTGGGTAACAACTTCATTCCCTTGCCGTAGTACGTTTATGGACTCTAATTTTTAGTTTAACTTTTAACACTGCACTATTGGTTGTAGTTCTGTATCCACAGTAGCTTTTTCTGGTTTGCTTTCCAGATGGCAAGGTTATTCTATCATAAGCCCCAGTTTGCAATTCTGGATGAGTGCACCAGTGCTGTTAGTGTCGATGTAGAGGGCTACATTTACAGCCACTGCCGAAAGGTAAGCTCTTTGTTTCTAGAATTATATCTCCTTGTGTTAAGAGGGAACTTTAAATGATACAAGGTTCACTCTTCCTTATGCCTAGTGCAGACTAAAAATTAAAAAAACAAAACAAAATCCTAAAAAAAAGGCAGCTTTATGCACACTAGATTTCAGTAATTGTTTTGTAGTCTTAGGATAATTTAGATGTACATGTAGCCTCTGTGTTAAACAGAGAACTCTTACTAACTGCTAAGTAACCTTACCTTTCCAGATAGTCTTAGAATATCAAATTAAGATCAAATAATCTTAAGATTTTAGACTTCTTTGTTCTTCATAAGCTTTCTGTTGGCCAAGCAACAGAAGTGAAAGGCTGGAAGTTAACATTTCCATCTATTTTGAGACATGAAAAGCTAAGCACTCTAGCAAAGCATGATGTTTTAAAATATAGTTTTGTTTTTCCTTGTCCTCTGAAATTCACCATTTCAGGTTCTGTGTAGTACCATGTGAAATATCAGCACGATTCAATTTCACACCCTTAGTCTGGCAAAGAATGGGCTTGAAATAACATTAGTTAATGAAATAACATTAGTTATTGAGTAGCAGCATTCTCAGGATAGTGATGGAGCAAAGCTGGGTGTCCACTGAAATACATGCTCAAAACCACAAGTGGAAACTTAAGGAGCCTTCTGTAGTAGTGAAGGGACACTCGGTGAGGACTCTGCAGAAGGGACAGTATATCATGAACTAATTTTACCACACTGATATCTATACCCTGACAATTTCTAAGTCTGTTTTCCATATATTTATTATTCTGTTGACTGGAATATTCATTTGTACTTGCCAAATGGCTAATACATGTTACTGAAAAATAGAATTCCCCGTTAAGCTGTCCTTGCAGAAAGCAAAAATGTTACCCTTATTTTATCATCAGAGCCATTTTGTCCTTGCTGCTACTGTTAGGGATGGATAGTTAACTGAGTTGCAAGGAAACAAAGGAAGATTATTCACCTCTAAATTGTAACTCTAAGTTTATAATCCATTATAGCTTTTGTGGGTTTGGGGTTTTTGTTGTTGTTGTTAGGCTTGCTTTATTCACAGGTTTATTGTTTTTCCTGTCTCATACCCTACCTCCTTTGCCCCTTTTGTTCTGTTTGACAAATCATTTGGAGCAAAAGAATGATGAAATAATTTAAAAAGGATAAAACCCTTGTTTGCCTTTTTTCCCCCTGCAAAATATTGTATTAAGGCTATATATGTCTAGTGTTAATAATAGTCTGGAAGTTTGTGGCTGTGAATTTAAGACCTTCATCTGATATCATGCTGAAAAATAAATAACACCTAACCCATAAGAAAAAAATAACTGTTTTTTGGGTATTTTCATCATACAGGTTGGCATCACTCTCTTCACTGTTTCCCACAGGAAGTCACTCTGGAAACACCATGATGTATGTAGTCTTTGCTTTACTCAGAATATGTGTAGGTCTGAGGGGTGTGGTTTTTTACTGACTTTATTAAATTGACTTTGCAATTCTAGCTGTTGTCATTTTACATCCTAATAGGTCATGTTCTGGCTTTGATTTTTTTATTTTTTCAAGAATTTACTTTCATATTCCCCTTTCACTATTTGAAATAATCTTACACTTCTAGTTTTGAAGAAACACTATCCAAAAATCTCTCTGTGTATCTGTAAAAGTAGCTACAAAAATATGAAAGACTCACTAGGTGGTTAAGTCTTGTGTCTTAGACTGAAAAAAAGTCTTGAACTAGAATCCAGTTAACAGCATGGAGGTTTTTTGCTTTCACTATACCTAATATACCTATGCTTTAAAGAAAAGTTCATCTCTAATACATGGATTTCTTTTCTTGCAAACTTAAAATTTTACTACTCTTTTTGTGCAGACAGACTGTATGTGTGGGTTAAATTACTGAATGAACACACAGGGATTAATGTATAACTCAAAGTATGTTGTCACAAAACCCAAGAGAGCAGTGTTGTGTAGGTGTGGCTGTTAGCAGACTGATGTATGATATGCAAAAAACCCAGTTTAACGTTTTTATAGAGGCAGTTGAATGTAATGAAATGTGAAGCAGAAGCAGCTTACCCTCTGGTTAGCTGAGTTTAAGATTTTGCTAAAACTTTTAAAATTTTTTTTATTTTTAAAACTACTTCAAAATACAATTTATTTAGGGCTTTATAGACCTAGTAATTTTTTGGAGGTTAATAACATATATTCTTTGTTTTTCAGTTCTACTTGCATATGGATGGCAGAGGAAACTACGAGTTCAAGAAAATAACTGAAGACACAGTTGAATTTGGATCTTGAAGTCATAAACTGAACTGCTAGAGACTGATGATTGCAGGAAGTGTGTAGAATGTCAGAAAATGTACCATAAAATTACTCAGCTTGTTAAGCATTTACTATTATGTAGGATATTGCTAATTGTGTATATGTTGGTTTAATTATTGATATGTACTAAGAATGTCCTTATTCTTGTGGTTTAAAAACCTGCCTAAATTAAATTGGGCTTAAATTGGTGTAACCTGATTCATCCTGGGATGCAAACCATTTGAAATCGGCTGATTTGACTTTTGTAGACCTTCTTTCCCTTCACTGAAAAACCCTGTTAAAATTAGGGTTGCTACCTCTCTTGTTCCTGCAAAGCAGTCCTGGATTTTTGCTCTGTTCTATGCATATTTCAGAGTGATCTTATGCAGTGCAGGACATTGTCCCATCTTCAGATCTGTGCCCTGTGAAATGAAAGAGCCTTTTCCTTGTCCAAGCCTTGTGATGTAGCCAATGTGCCCTTGCTGAAAAAGGATGAACTGAAACTAAAAGACAAAACTAATTCCTTCTGGTGGTAAAAAAAAAAAAAAAAAATTAAGCTTGTTCTTTACTGGGTTTTGGATTCTGTTTAGCTTCTGTCTGTCCATGCAGTTCTCTCTGCAGCTCAGCAGTCCCGTTGTCTCCCAGTTTAGTAAGAGCTTCATCCATCCCGTACCCCAAATGCCCTTTTTCTCTCAGAAATTGTGGTAGTGAATAGTTGAGGCTGAGGGAGGAAAGGACTGACACACAAAAGAAAGGGGGGAAAGAAAAGAGATTATATTTGTATCAAACAATCTTGTGAATGTTTTTAGCTCTGAAAAAAATGAATGACTCCCACAAGAAGAAACAGAGAAAAGATTGTGGGTCCAGTCATTCCCCTCCTTAAATCACTAAAGGTTAGAATGGGCTCAAGCATGTTAAAGCAGTTACTTTTTCCAAGTTACTCCTTTTCTCCCTCTTCAGGAAATCAGATCTACTTATGATCTGAATTTGAAAGTCAGGATAATGGTACTCCCCGTTTGGTCTTCTAGGATGTGAAGCCAGAAACAATGCTTTCATTTTTATGTTTATTCTCTTATTTGTCATGATGTTTCTTGGTTTCTGATACAAATTATTTACTAGTGATTCTTGCTGTTGTCTAAGGATCTCTAGTCCTTGCTGGTTTTTTTGTTGCAGCTGCCAAATCCCTGTGAAGAAACCAAACTCTTAAGATGGTTTACTGGGACAGTTTTTTCCATACAAATGATTACTGTGGTTGTCATTTGACTTTGACAAACATAAATGAAGCAAGGTGTTTTTTGTGATCAGGGAATAAGAAGGTATAATTCAAACTGAATTGCAGTTTAGGCTTTAAAACAAAAATTTACCATACCTGTTGTACAGTGAAGGTCTAGTAGTTTTTTAGTGTTCCATGTAAGATACAATATAGGAATGCACTACATGAAGGCATGCAGAAAATATGCAATACATCACTTCTCTGTGCATCTTTTATCAAGGGTTTAGGTTAAAAAAACCACCCCGAGTTTTTATAAAATGGATATGTACTTGGATGCACTGCTGATTGTTAATTTTTACCCAGTTTGATTAGTCATGATCTTTCATGCTGAAGTTGCTGTCTATTAATGTTTTTTTCCTTTTATCACGTTTCTTGCCCTTACCTGCCACTTTCAAAGTACTCCAATGCTGGTATAAGAATCTAATCACCACAGTAGATTCAGAGTACAATGCATCAGTGAAAATCAAAAAAAGCTGCTCTGTGAAGTATAGCATATTCAAGAGAATAAGGTACCAGAATAATTTTTTGTGCTTGTTTAACAAGAAGGCAAATAGATACCTGATTTAACTAATCTCTTTTTCCTGTTCACTCAGATTCTCACATCAGCTGTAACGTAGCAGGTAGCAGCATGCTGTATGTGAGGTCATAGTCTTTTTTTAATTGTAACCATGAAAATAGGGATGCCAGGTAGGTTGTTGTGTCAGGAGGTTTTTTTGATTTAAGTTTTATTTTGTGGAAGTTCTCAGCACAGATGCAACTGCTTCTCTTGGAAGGGCTGTTTCAGTAGCCTTTCGGAGAAACAAAGGAAAAATTAATCTCTAAAATGAGAAAGTTGCTGTGTTCCTTGTGATTAGGGCAGTCTTTTGCAGTGGAGTAGTAAACTTGGGATACTCTAATGTATTTTTTAATGGTGACAAGCAAAACCACACACAGCACACTTACATAGCCCCCCAGCAGCCAGTCCCAATTGTACTTTACAATTTAACTGGTTATAACAGAATTTTGTGTAATCTCTTATTTTTAAAACTAACAACAAACGAACAAACTAAAATCCACCTCCAAAAGCAAGGAGGAATAGGTTTGCCTTTAGATGCAATGAAGTTTGTTGAAACTGAGGATGCTGGTATCTCCTTAGGGCCAGAACTTAGTGTTTCTAAACATACTAGAAGGAAAGAAAAATATTATTCTGTGCTCAATTGTAAGAAAGACTTATAAAAAAAGTATAAAAAATAATGATGTTTTAGAATTATATTCTTAAAAGGCCTTACACTAAAGTGTTTGAGATAGACTTGATCTAATGGGAGATTGTAAAAACTCTAATGAAAATGATCCAAGTCTCAGTTCTGTTGCAGAATTGCACTGTGATACTGTATTTTAGTTGTTATGTTTCTTTAATAGCACAAGCTGGAAGTTTGTAAATTGGAATTCTGCACTATCTTGGTAAGACAAAGTACTGATGAATACTTTCAGTCTCAAACTGTTGGTGCTTTGAAGACGGTACTGGTAGTAGTCAGATGGCTGCATTTCAACAGTGGTGGGAAACATTCCTGTGTGTAAATACTGTAAAGTGTTTTGGAGGGGGAAATGGCGCTATATAAATGTAAGACATTAAGTGCCTCTGAAATAATAAACCTAAAGATAAAATATATCTAGGCTTTTTGTTTCTTAATTATGTGAGTAGGAATTTTGTAATAATTCAGTGAATGCATATTCAGTAAGTGTTGGGTTACTCAACAAGCCAGTTGACTTGTGTTCCACTTATAAAACATCTGCAGTACTGCCTGAAATCTGACTTGGAATCAGCCAGGTGATGCCATCCAGTTGTAGGCTTAACCAAGTACATGAGCTCAGTACTTGAAGATATGTTCTTAGAGCAAGTGGATTATAGGTGCTTTTATCTCTTTTAAACTTGCACTGAGATTACCTCAGTTGGTTACAGCCTGGTGCTCATAATGCTGAGGTCATGGATTCAATCCCTGTATGGGCCATTCATTTAAGAGCTGGACTCGAAGATCCCTGTTAGTCCCTTCCAGCTCAGAATATTCTGTGACTCTGACTTCTCTCTCCTTTGTCTGCTGACCACTTCTTTTCCCTTTATTGATTTTAGAAGAGTATGGACTTGAACAAGATTAATTTAATAGCAGTACATACTGTGGTAATTCTTTTGAGTGCTCCCTAATCTTTGTACTTTGAAGAAAATAAGATAATCACTTTCCACTTTTATTGTATTTTGTATTTATGTGGTGAATTTTAATCATTTTCCTTTGTTGTGGTAAACATACCAGCTATCGGGGACTTGAAGCACAATAGTGTAAAAGTGCAACCAAGATATGCTTGAATTAACTGATTCTAAAGTGATCATTGTTTTCTAATACTAATTAGTACTGATTTTTCCATTTCTTAACTGAGATTAGTTGTGCAACAAGTGTATTGTGTAGCATTCTTAAAGGGTAGAGCTCCCTTAAAAAAGGAAATGTCTCAACCAAGGATGTAGTTTTAAAAATCCAAGTGTCATTCAATTTAGCCGATGAGCTAGAGAGATAAAAAAGGAACTTCTGTGTTGTGGATGGCATGTTTAATATTTAAATTTATCTTTAAATTAGCGTGAAGTCTGTTACTTGTTCAACTCTGGGCTTTCAACTATGCAGTTCTTTCCAAATGTTTGGTTTGTGTGCCTCAACACTTAACTTTTTCCTTATATAGAGGGAAGATACTAGTTCCTTGAAGAGTAGAACTGAAACCATGGAGCAAAAAATTCAAACTCCTTTACAAAGATCAACCCCCCATATTTTGAGCACGTTCAATAACCTCGGTCCAGTATTTCTGAACGTTTACTAAAGCTCCAGGCAGCTCTCCCCTCTCAGCAAAAATTAGGCATTCTTGACAAAGACTGTTTGGCAGATGATGGTGCTTTCTGCAGGACTAGCACGACAGTGGAATAAGCTGCAAGGTGAACAGAACATCACAGTGCACCTTATCTTCCATGTCAAGTGCAAAGCATGCTTTACTGCATCATGGATTTATTTTTCTTACAAAACCAAACCAAAAAAAAAAAAAAAAAAAACTGCAGCAGGAAATGTCCACAAAAATCCAACCTACCTCTGACCCTTGTCATTTTTCTGGGGAAAGTTGTCAATGTCCTGACCACTATGCAGGTTGCGGGGGCGTTTCTTGCCCGTATGTGGCACAGATAGAACAGGTTAGACACACCTGACTGTACAGCCTAAATTCAAGATGGCTTTAGCACCATTTGAAAGTGACTTTACTATATACAGTACTATATAAAAATTCTGGATGAATTGCCAGTGCGTTAGCGCTGTGCTGTACGCTGGAGAGGATGGTTAGTGAGAAACAAAGCGTCATGGGATGCTTCCATGACACTTGACACACTTTTAATTAAACCTCATCCAGTACTGACAACTTAAACAACTTGAGTTTGGCAGAATAGGGAATTCAGTCTTCATATGTCTTAACTCTCTAAAGGCACAATATCCTATGGCTTAGGATGGGAGAGAAAGAACTAATTTGGTGGTTCTTCTATCGAATTAATCTCTGCACACTCAACAGTCTGTCACCTAATCCTTGATGTTCTGAAATAATCTGGAAATGTGAAAAAAATAATAAGATGGCCTATTATCGAGGTAGGAGTTAAAAATCCATTATTAAAATTGAAATGTAACTGTCATGCGTACGAAGAGATGTCCTTAGAAACGTCCAGGATAGTGATCATCTGAAATCCCACTGTGAGAAATAGCAGGGGAAAAATGGTTGTCTCAATTTTAAAGAGAAAATAAACCACAACTTTGGTCTGTCAAGAAAATCAACAGTGTGCAAATTGAAATTTCTGCTTATAAAGCTGCTGTTCAAAACAACTATTTCTATATATAATGTATTTGCTTCTATATTAGATGTAGATAACCAGGTGGTTTGTGCCAGTCCCTTTCATGAGCATGGAAAGAGCTTTCTTGGTTTTATTAAGCAGTGATATATAGCTATGTCTGGAGGAGGTTTGCTGGGTTTTTTCCTTTCACATGTTGAAGGTTTTTATTATGATGCCTTAAACTTGACCTGGAAGTTTAGAGTGGCTGTGCACGTTACAGGTTCCTATATTATGTTTGTTTGTATCTTCTGCTGAAACCCATCCTGTCATGTGTATTCAAACATTAGATGAAACTGGTTTCATTCAACTCAAACCATTCTGTGATTCATCTTGAAACAGAAATATAGCCAGGCTAGGTTACTATGAAAGCAACTTGTCTTTTGTATTAAAACCTTAGAAAAATTAAAAGCAGTCTTTGAACTGCTGCATCGTTTTCTCTCCTTGTATTCAAAAGCAGAGCCAGGTGACAAGCATCCTGGAACTTCACAGACAGAAGCTGTTTCAAGGGAATAATTTGAAAAATATGAGAAATTCGGGGATTAAATAGGAATAATACTCCTAAGCATCTGGTGACATTCCCCAGGGGTAGACTTGGGAAACTAAAGACATTTTGCCAGTAATCCTGAAATGAATGCAACATAATTGTCCAACTGGCATTTTAAAAAGGAGAGGAGGGAAACTTGGACACTGCACTTATGTGGAATGTATCTTTCACAAACCAGGCTTAATAATCACAAACTCTCTTACCCTGGTTAGAAACCTCCCTCTTTGTGATGTTTGACAAGTCTGAACCATAAAGATTGAACTCATTTAGTGGTGAAAGGAGCACTTTTGCTGTAGCTCCCAATCCCATTCCCTGCTCTGTCCATAAACCAGCATCCTTATTCCCCACCCATCCCTTGTCTTGGGAGACAAGTGGCATCTACACATGGTGCTGCACCAAAATAGAACAGAACTGGAAAAATTAGGTCAATTCTGTCTAGATGAAACTAAAACTGCTGGGATTGATTTCCTTGGTTAGAAATAGGGAACTCCACCTACATGACTGAGCAAGTTTTCTATATTAAAATAACTTCAAAGTATGGCACAAATTGAAGCTGACTTTTTAAGCTTGATTATAGAAGTTTTGGGAAATGATGCTCTGAAAAATACACTCCATGTGTGCAGTTGAAGAGACATCTTCTATGTAACCAAATATACCTCTAATCTTCCTAGACTGAGTGGTTTACTGCAAGCAGGTGCTAAAAAAATTTTGATTAATTTTAATTGTTGTGAATCGTGACAAGGTAAGTAGTGTGAAGGTGCTCCCCAAAATAACCTACCCTTTATTTTTTTATTGTAGCACTCTACTGCAGGCATTTGTTGCCACAAAAGCAGCAGAGCTAAACAGCTGTGTCAGAAGGTACTAATGTGACAGACTTGGTAACACACTAAAAGGTGAAGTATCTTTAGAGGAGTTAATAAGTGGATATGTTTAGGAAAAATAATGGTTAAAAAGCAAGGCTTGTGTGCTGGAGGCTTCTTAAAATTTGGATCCAATCATATATTGCAACAGAACTCTGAAAAGCCAGGAACCCTTTGCAAAATTTTTTCGAGCTTAGAGGGAATTAAGGGCCAAGGTCAAATCTACACATTGATATGCTTTTCTGTTTTAACCCACAAATGCTAACTACATTTGAAAAAAAAAAACCTTTTTTTTTCTTTTTCTTTTTTTTTTTTTCATTATTAGAATACTTGTATTTATAATAGTTCTAAGTAGAGAGTTTTGGAAAGGGGGCTTGAGGTTAGTTCACAAAATTCTCTTCATGCTTAGGATGTTACCTCTGTGAACTTCCTCAAAAAGGCCCTGGGGTGCATCATGCTAGTGGGATAGAAGGTACTTAAATAGATGTGTCTGAGGGACAGTGGAGTTCCTGTGCACACCACTTACTGTCCCCAAGTTTGTCCTACAGTGTAATGACCTGTGTGAGAGACTGGGCACAGAAGAGCAGCCCCTCAGCAGGGACCTGTTTTGACTTCTTGTGCCTGTCACTGCCTTTAGAGTGGGAGGTCATTTCCCTCAAAAGATGTTTTTGGGTTTGCTCCTGGTTGCAAACACAGCTGCCTTCCAGCTATTTCTACCCATGCCTTTCTTTTCCTTGCTACTGGACAGATAGTGTGTTATCACAGTTCCAAACATAGCTTGTACTTCAATGTTACTTACAGGGCTTCTGAATTTATGATGTGCTTCTAGAAGACTTCAGTCCCTTCTCTGAGGTTCTCAGTCCATTCCTCTGAGAGTTAAAAGGGCAGCAAGAAGAATCTGTTTTCTGTTTGAAGCATACTAAGGAAAAAAATTCTGGTAAGAAGCTTAACAATCAGCATGAAAATCTCCTAATTCTGAGCTACTTCCAAGTTTTCTGAGACTAAAGTTTGTCAGGAGAAAGGAGTATGGTTTTTGTGTGGGCTTCAACACCAAAGTGCAAACAATGGGTAAATAAGTACTAATGGATTGTTAACTGGAGCCTGGTTTCCAGCAGTGCTTGGACAACATAGGGTATGTTACAACCCAAGGTTCCTGGAAAACCTGTCATAGGGAAGTACGGAACAGAAGATGGGGGGTGTTTGGGAGGAGGGAGCTGCTCCAGCCCTTAATATGTTTGAACAGCACAATGATACCTATCTATTGCTCTTCATTACTAGAAAAGAGAAGATCTAAAAAATTTCACGTGCCCTTTTCCTTCAAATTTTGGTGAAATCTGGATTCGAAGTGGGTCTTGGTGTGCTAGCCATTTAGGAATATTTAGGTTGTTAATGTGCTGGTTATGCCTTTTTTTGCCACTTGGTGTCAGCTTTTCTAGGCATATGAAGCGTAATAACCTGATACAGATTGCAGAATCAATGTTGTAGAGATTGCTCACAGAGTGCAAGTTGTGTGCTGGGCCACTGTTGCAATGTAAGGAACCTGCAGTGTGAAGGGCAGAGGAGGAACAGATCTGTGGTGTTCACAGTCCCACCACTGTAGTGACTGTGGTGGTGGGGACAGACAATGGTGTGGTTGCACTCTTGGGAGCTTTACAGAAGCAAGTGATTGTGTTAAGAGTAAAGGGGAAAGATGGGAAATCAGACTGAGGATCATGTCTGTGGATGGTGTGAGTTGGTGTGAGTGGATGGTAAAGTATGAAGGCAGCAGAGGGAAAAAAAACACCACCAAAACCACACACAATAAAACCACATGCGCACACACACACAAACCCAATCAACAAACCAAAAAAACCCCAGCAAAACAACCCAACCACAAAAATCCACAAACTCCAAGAAAAAAAACAAACCCACATTTCTACCTGGAATAATGAGTCCTTCTTAGTAGCGTAGGTTTTAAAATCTCACTTGTCATTCTAGCTCTTTTATTACACTAGCTTTTTAACTGAGATATGTGACTACTGAGTAACTAATTAAAAATTACCATGTGATCTCATTGGGAAAATATTCCTCCGTTCAGAGGAAGGTGGGTTTTAATTAAACCTCTTTTGATGAAATAATTTTGTGAATGTAACAGTGACAGTACTTTGCTACTTTAATATTTCTTGAAGTAATAATGTGGAAAATTTGAAAATAAAAATAGAAGAAAATCCATCGGGAGGAGTAAATGAGATCTGAAACTTTGAATAGTCTTTAAGTTCAGTTTAGTAAGTTCATTGCTATTTTAAACAAGCCACTAAAAAAAGTAGGTACAATAAGAAGGTACTCAAAGCAGTGCCAGCAAATGTTCTGGACGTTAATGGCTTAATAATAGTGACCAAGTGAAGCCGCAGAGTGTAAAGCAAAAAATGCTTCCACGATACTAGTATGTTCTTGATTGTGATTACGGGATATAGATTTATTCAGGTTCTATATTTTGATTGAAATGTGATCCTGCCCAGTTGTTGGCAGAAATGAGGCAGTGGGTTTGTCTCTGGGGAAGAACAGGTAATGGAAGTGAGTAGGAGAAGGGGGAGAGGAATGGAAACATCACCAAAGGAGCCAGGGGAAGTCAGGAGCAGAAACACGGCGAGCTTCTTACAGAAGCCAGTCACTAAACGGTGCCACTAACAGTGCTCAGCTTTGACAAGATGTGAAATGGGCACAATCTTTGCAATTGGGCATATGAGACAGGACCTGGCTGTGAAACCCTGGAGGAAGTCAACGTGGCTTTGTGTTTATAACTGGATTTTACTGGAAGAAATCATCCTGAGGGAAATCTTCCTATGAACTTGACTAATTCAGCTACAGTTAGAGGCTGAGGAATTATAGGGAAAGATGGTCTTTCTGGTCTTTTGGGGAAAGAGGCTCTGTGGGCTGAATGAGAACCTGTGCCAGAAGAAACAGAAGGATCTCACTGGTGGGAAGATTTCTCATCATATGGTGTAAGGAAGAGATTTGCAGCACATCTCATGGTCTTTACACCTTGAGCTTTTTTAACAGTCCTGCTGTAGAGCACTGGAGGGCACACATCACCAAATAAGGGAAGAGCAGCCTTTGTGGCAGTTTCTTTTTAAGGGAATGGGCGTACTGTGTCGGGGAGTGCATGCTATGGTGAGTAACAACACACCTAAGGGTTGGGAAAGGATTTTCAGCCGGCCAGTTCCTGATTCTGTCCTCTCTAGCAGGTTATTCTTTTCCTGTCATTCTCAAACATGAACAGCAGGACAAACATAGACTTTGGAAATCATGGTTAGTTGTATGTGGATAAATTCTGTGTAATTAGAAGATTATTCAGTTGACTTTTGGATCTGGTACTGTGTATTACAAGGTTCTGAAACTGTGTGGCAATCACTATAAACCTGCAAAACAATCAGCTTTACAAAACTGAACCGAGAGGGTAATCTATCACAGCTATTTATTCTCACAGTGCAGAAACTCTTTGTCCCGAGTTGTCACATAACTAGCGATACAAGTTAAGCTTCTAATCATGTTCTTCTCTCACATGCCTCTCAGCAGCAGCCTTCTCACAGTGGAAAGCTGAGTCGGCCAGAAATAGATTAGCTAAGGTGTTTGCTGCCACATCTATCATAGATACATTTGTGAAGTCCTGTACCATTGTTAATTTTAAATAATGGCAGTAATTTAATTGTCTGTAATGCTGTTAGGGCTGACAAAAAAGCAGCAGAACAGTATCAGCCTTTATTCACTGATGTGAAGAAGAATGAGGTTTTAAAGCAGTACTATAATATCAAATTGGTTTATCATAGTATGCAATGTTACATGTTCACTTGTACAAGGACAGAACACAAATACGGTGTCATGGAACGGTGCAAATGTATTTATACACTTGAAACAGCTGGATAACTTTTCCGGTTGACAAGGAGCAAGGCAGAACAGGGGAACTGGGAGCATTGGTAGGAACCTGCTTGCTTCCAGGAACCTGCTTAGAAGATGAGCCGGGAACTTTAGTTGCATAGGAAAAGTCTTCCCTATATTCTATCATTTCCCTGGGTGTCTGGCTCCGTCTTAAATCCATACAGTGCTGAAGTGGCCACATGTGTGTTGTAGATAGGACCTAGTCCTTCTCCCTGCTGCCAATACCTTTACTGGTAAACAACAACTTCTGCCCACTCTGATACTCTGAGAAAAATCTCTGCATAAAACATTTTGCGTGGGCTCAGCCCAAGGGATGATACTTGCGGAAGTTTGCAATTAAAAAACCCCTTTCTCAGCTGTCTCCACAGAAAGCAAAAAAGTTGAAATAGGATCTGTGAGCCCCGTGACTCTGGTTACGCAGCATTGTTGGATGATAACATGCTGCAGCTAGGAAACAGAAGTGCTTCAGATTTCCACCACTTCTGCAGTCACGGGGCACTCTTTTGCCATTTAAGGCACTTGTTTGCAAGTGGGTATTTTCTTCCCTCCTCTTTCCCCACCTTCTTCCCCCTTCTTACCCCCTCCTTCTCCCCCTTTATATTCAGAACAAACCAAAAATCTCTTTAAGTAATGAAGTATGATTTGTAGCATCGTTCTATGTAGTTTATAACAAGCTGCTGCATGGTCCAGTTTAATAAATATTATCCTGTAATCTGCAGGCTTTCTTTTTCCTATTAGCTTCCTCTTCCCTTTTCTGAGCTGGGTACTGAATGAAGCTGAGGAAGCAGAACACCACAGGGAAGGGAAGTAATGATGACATCTTTGGAATGTTTTTAAATTTACTCCCACAAGCTCTTGTGTTTTTGATTGCTGTTGTAAGATTCTTTTTCCATACAAGGCTTATGAATCAGCACAAAATGCATTAAGCATTTATTTCACAATATTAGGTATTAAGTAAATGAGGTTTTTTTGGGGGTGATGCTGGTGTTTGTTTTCTTCCCTCTGTAAACTGAGAAATTCAAGAACAAAGAAAACCCCCATAAAACACACACATTCGCCAGAGTCTTAATCCATACATAGATGGATTTATCCCTGTAACACAGGGATAAAAAATATAAAATACAATTCTGTACAAGTTGATAGTTTGGGCTATTAATTTTTTAAGGTATTCCTTCTCATGAATACAATGGAATACATACCACTGTGGGAATCCCTATGTGATACATCTGGAGATGTCTGCTATGCTTTCCCTTAGAATAAAAAGCTCTGAATGCAAACCCTGACTTATTGCTCACGTAAGTGGACAGCCAAAAAGTGACTCAGGACTTTTCAAAACCTTTCATCAGCTTGTGAACTGTGGCTTCTCATAGTTTTATCCTCACAAGTAGTAGGTGCCCTGGTAGTCTGTTTTGCAGAGTCCTGGTTAGACTTCTGGCAGCTTCCCCACAGTGCTGTCACAAAATAAGTTTCCTAAACATATTGTTAATTTAATTCTGAAATGAAAACTGTACATTGTTTTGAAAATTAAAAGGAAGTCTTATTTTTCCAGTCACCTTTATTTCACTAGAAAAGTATAAATTATCATCATAAATACAGATATCACCAGTATAAAAGTTAGATTCTCATTTATAAAATAAATATTAAAAGACAAAGAAACATGTACCTTCAAATCCCAATACCAAGAAAATTTGATTCTATGCCACAGAAACCATTCATCCATCACCTGTTTAGTTAAAAATGATGTTCAAAATGTACTCAATACTGCTACCTATTCAGTGCTTGCATGAAGTGAGTTATTACTGACTCAAAGCCTGCAATGTATTTGTTCTAACACTTACTTGGATCTGTCAGACTACCCTGTCAGTTCAACTCTCAATGTAGTGTAATCTGGATATACTTTCCAGATGAATTGCAGGTACCTGCTTCAAGAGAGTTCCTTACAAGTCACCAGTAGAGTAGTTTCAGTTTGTTTACCTTCAATTGTCTATATTCAAAGATAAATAGACCGAGTTAACTTTATCCAAGAAGTGCAGAAATAATAGTAGCAATTCTGTCACATCTGAACTAATAGATCATTTCACCAGTTAATAATATTAAAAGGCAGATAAATACAGGTTTTGTTTCACAGAAACAGAATTATGTTCCTTTAGTTAGGTAAAGTACACGTATTTTTCAGAAGTAGTGTTCTTTCCCCTCACAAGTACCATAAAGCCGTACCATAAATCTTCTGGCTTAATAAGGCCACACTGATCAAGTCAAAAGTACCTTTAGTTCAGAGTCCTGTTTCAGACAGGACAATAGAAGAGGCTTGGGAACAGTCTATGAGAAGGGTTAAGCTCTCTGCAGAGAGAGCTTAAATTAGAGATATGGGCAATCACCAACCGTATGAAGTATAACAAGGGCAAGTGCTGGATTCTGCACCTGGGACAGGTGCTTTGTTTGTAGACTGGGGAGTGAGAGGCTGGAGAGCAGCACTGCAGAAAGGGCACTGAGGGTCCTGGTCGATGGCAAGCTGAATCTGAGTCAGCAGTGCCTTGGCAGTCAGGAGGGCCAACCATGTCCCGGGGGGCAGCAGGCAAAGCATCACCAGCCAGCCGAGGGAGGGGATTGTTCCACTCTGCTCTGACCTGGGGCGGCCTCACCTTGAGTATTGTGTGCAGTCCAAAGGAGGGCAATGAAGATGGTGAAGAGCCTTGAGGGAAAGCCGTATGAGGAGCAGCTGAGGTCACTTGTTCTGTTCAGCCTGGATAAGAAGAGACTGAGGGGAGACTTCTTTGCCATCTACAACATCCTCATGAGGGGAAGCAGAGGACAGACACTGACTCTTCACTCTTGTGACCAGTGACAGAACTCAGAAAAATGGTATGAAGCCAAGTCAGGGGAGGTTTAGGTTGGATATCAGGAGGTGGTTTTTCACACAGAGGGTGGCTGGGCACTGGAACAGCCTCCCCAAGGAAGTGGTCACAGCACTAAGCCTGTCTGGGTTCAAGAACTGTTTGGACAACGTTCTCAGACATGCTGTGTGTGCCTTAGGGTATCCTACGCAGGGCCGGGAGTTGGACTTTATGATCCTTGTGGGTCACTTCCAACTCAGCATATTCTATGATTCTATGATTGTAACAGATCACCAGAATACTCCTCCAGCTCCGGCCACTAGTGATACAGGGGCTTCCTGATAGCTAGATTTTTCATCTGTGACTGCCTAATGGAATTTTTAATCCACATAAAATTTGGGCTTCAAAATTCCTGTTTCAGAAAGCCTAAAAAGCTCCACCCAATTATCCAATTTATGGTTTTTTGTTGTGGTGGATTTTTTTGCCTTGGTGCTGCCACTGGTGTCCACAATACTTTTTCCTTAGACACCATTAAGTGGTTCCTTTTCTCTCGCAGCTCTTGCTTTCTTGCGTTTACACAGAATCACTGGCAGGACGATGGCAAGAGTGATGACTGCAATTGCAATCACTGCTATGATGATAAAGACTTCTGCTCCATATTCTGTAGGGGAGAAAAAAAGTACAAGATTGAGTTATCAAAATCCATAATGACACAGTGCTACAAACTCTTAGCACTCATTCCACTGAATGAAAGAATGCTTTCTATATTTTACAGTACCGCAGAATTCAGTGTGATCTAAACACATTTTACATGAATTTGCTGAACTGAGGAAAAGCTTTATTTCACCTGGTTCACACTAGGTTTTAATCTAGTTTAGTTAGTGCACTAAAATGCCACACTAACACCACAAGAATAAGTCAAACCATTCCCCCTGTCCCCACATTATTTCTGTTCAAGTAGGAATTTATTCTAGGTTATAAGCTAGAAAACACCAAGAGAAGAGTTTTCTATTTAAGTTGTAATTAAATTGTAATTTATCATTATTGTGATAAAGAAAAATACATATTTAGATAGGGAAGTTACTTTGAGTTCATTTGCCAATTTTAGAAGTAATTTTCTAGAGTGCAAATATTCTTATCTAGGGGAGAAGAAAGATACATTACAGCAATGTGATATTATTTGAATAATATTGATGACTTTTTATTGAAGAAAGTGTTACCCAGATTGTCTAAAATTTGACTGGCTGATGCACTGACCACTCCTTAATTTATCTACCAGTAAAGAAGCCAATCTGCCAACCTCTGACCTTGTAATAGTAAAGAATGTCTTAGTCTCACCATCTGCTTTAGGGGTAACTAAAGGTCAGTTCAAAGTACAAGTCAGGGGACAGGTTTCCAGCACTCGTATGTTTTAGAGCTAATCCTTCAAGCACTTACTATGGCACCTCCTATTGAAGGGATTTGAGAGAAGCAATGGGGGAAAAAACCAAAGCTGAAGGCTAGTGATGAGATCTGAAGCCTCAGTGACCAGTTATCAATTCAGACAATTTAATCAATACAGTTGAGCAAAACCCTAATACCAACTCTAACTAGCTGAAGATGGTGAACCCTTTCTTGAAGTGAGTTCTTCGAATGAGTTTCCATGTTCTGACTGTGTCTTCTAACTTACACAGTAAATGGTTTATAACAGGCATCCCAATTTAAAGACATGTCTTTTCGTTAGAATGATGAAGACTGTGTGACAAACGTCAGCCGGTACTCACCGTCGAAGATCCCCCTTTCTCCAGTGGTGCAGTGCACCACGCTGGTTTGGCCATTACGGTTTTCTCTGCGGGACGGAACGAATCCCTGGACATAGAAGCAATAGTTCTTTGTGCTCTCAACACTTACTTCAAATGTATGGCTTTTTGTTGTTGCATCTTTCTAAAAAGGGAAAAAAAAATATTTCAAGTGTCAACTAGCACAGAAATTGTGTAACTATAATACAGCTACAGAATATACAAATTTTTACAGAATGAAAACTAGAGTTAGACCTTACCTTTCCAGAACTTTGATCTTTCCAGTAATAGAGCTTGTATTCCAGGTCATGCTGGAAAATATCTCGAATACTTTGAAAGCTTCCATTAGGAAATGTATACGGTGTAAGTGGATCTTTGATCACGACATTCAGTTTGGAACCTTTTTGAGTATAATTCTTTATTTCTGGTTTTCCTATAACAGCTAAACGAAGATTTTTAGAGTTAAAAAACTGACATCATCTTTTCTACACGACATGCTCTTCTTTCTTCCACTCTCTATTAACTTCCCATTTCAAATCTATTCTAAGTTTGCAAAGCCAAAGTAATAGGGTTAAGTCCTGGATTGTAAACAAGTATCTTTATCTAGTACACAGTGTTAACAAAGCTTTATGCCTGAATGTCTTCTTCAATATCAGCATGGCTACTATAAGAATCTATTGAAAAAACCTTTAAGCTCAATCTAAACCTTGTTTGAATCAGTGGAACTAATTTTGAAAGGAAGTTTATAATAAAATTTAATTGGAAATCCTACTTACTCTGACTATAAGGAGTAAATTTTTCAGAAAGTGCATAAGGTGGTTCTTCAAAGTTATCCATCCCCGCGGGCATTACGGACAGTATGTGGGCTACGTAGGTCTCTTTTACATCCTTGAGTGCATCAGTAACATCACACTCTGTTTCTGTTGTCAGGATGCATTTTTTTTTAATGTCAGATGTCTGTCTGAAAAGAGCAAGAAAGAAGTGTCAACAGTTTCCTACCAGCCACTTACATATTCAGATAAGTTGAAAAACATTTTCCACTTAAACTGTGTAGATTTCCCTCATCCAGTAGAACAGTCTTGCAGGGGTAATTGGCCAAAAAGGAGAAGACAAAACTTCAGAAAAACCTACTGTGTACAGCTATATTTCACAATTCAAAGTAGAATCAAGCAAAGTAACTATGATCCATATGACAGAAATATGTTATTGGACCCATACATGAATTAAACATTCAGTTTTTATATTAATTGATAGAAACCATAAGTAATTCTGATTTTGCACTTTTTTGCAGCTGCAGAATTTATTTTTAAAAATATAAGATGCCTAAATTACTTTGAATGTTTTATCCTTGATGCACGTGAGAACTATTGCCTTAAGAAACATCAGCTGTTATAGGAAGCTCTATTGACACAGTTTAATGTGACAACGTCCCCACATATATGGTTTTGCATCTACGCAGTGGCAAATGTCACTAAGAACCAGACAGTAGCAGCAAATGTCATTGCAGAATTACAATTTAAAAGATATTGACAAAAACCACTTATCTTGATTTTTAAAGAATAGAAAGCAGGTCCATTTACTTGAGAACTAGCAATGAGACCAGACTTCCTAACAAGAAGGATTGGAAAAAAATGTTATTACTCCATTTTTTCCTTTTTTTATTTTTTTTTTCTGGTGAATTAAGGAAAAGAAAAATTGTGTGATCTGAGCTGAAAGAGCAAGAGTGCTGACTTTTGAAATTAACAAATAGGTTTTCCTCAAAATAGGTCAAGTTTTATTTTCAAGAGTCAGCTGAACTCCCTTCTCACCTCACCAGATTTCTTATGTCACAGATCAGTTATTGATAGTGTCACAAGAGACGCTTTGAAGAGGGACAGAGATTTGATCTTTGTGATGAAACAAATGTACTCTGTAAATGTACAGACACGAGAAAGCAAACATTTAAGCACATTTACTATGGAACAGCAACCTGCCTAAAGAGGTGCTTCTGTTGCAGAACTACACCTGATTCTACACTAAATCTTGGGCAAACAGATTTCAATTTTTTGCAAGCAAAATCACTGGAAAGAAACTCTAGGTTCATGAATTAAAAAAATTTTGTTCTGCTAAGTGTGTGCTTTTAAGTCTACTAATCTAATCACTCCCTTAAAGAATGAAAGAGCACACTGGGCCCTTGCACTGGTATTTCATCCATTAGTCATGAGAGAGCTCTCCTGCCACTTTCAGAGACAGAAGAGACTGCAGTACCACTTTTTCATTAGTATGTAGGAGGTTTGATGATGCATTTTCCCTTTGAAACGTATTTAATAATGCTCTATATATTAAAATGGGAGCTAAGAACAATATAGAATTATTACTGAACTTCATGGAAGTTCCTGTGCAGTTCTGAAAGACGTGTTAGACACTTTACATAAGCTGGCTACCTTTTATGTCCACAATGTTTTATAGCTTACATAAAACATGATTACAGAGGAAGTGTTGGCAGAGGTAGACAAAGGTGATTTTTAGTATTATCCAGCAAGACAAATTATTCATTTATCATGATTCACCAATTAGAATAAAATGCGGACTCATTTATTAGACGCCTCCCTAGACTGAAGACAAAAGACTCAGACCAGACACCTTGAAAAACATAAAAAAAGGTGAAATTCTATCTAATACATGGTATCTGAGATTGAGCATCAACTTCTTCAAAGTATCCTGGCCTAGATCTCTCATGAGATTGGCCTGCACCAAGCCCCAGAACTGAAATACTGATCTCTAGCTCAACTCTCCATTTTTTAGAGTGAGCAAAACCAGAAACCTGAACCACATATCATTATAGTTGGATACAAAGAACTATTAACAGCTGGGTTGGCAATTCTCCTAAATCCTAATGTTTGGGCTCTTTTCCTGCTACATTTACTCTCAGAAATATTCAAACACACTCTATTTCCATCTTCTTTAATTGCCATTAATGGATATACCTTGGTGTTATCTACTTACCCATGTATTTCTACAGTATAGAAGTAACCTGATGGTTTTGGCTGCCACTGTAGTATAGTTTTAAAGTTGATTGAAGACCAAGTTATATTGACTGCTGTTGGTAGTGCTGCATAGTCTTTAAATACAGAAAAGAGAAAAATATCAGTCATATTATATGTAATTCCTGTTTCCCTTCAGTTACCGTTTAGGTAAATGAAGCAGTTGCTGTTAATTGCTACTTGGAAAGGTTGTTTTTGGGGAAAAGGCTCAGTCCTACCCTCTGGGCTCATGCTTGTCTTACTAAAGGAATGAGCCCTGGCAGAAGCGAGAAGCACAAGAATATTATTTTCTGTCTTACAACTCCAAAATCGATGAGTTAACTTATTTGTAATTCTGTCTAATTAGCCCTTTTTGAGTCAAGACCTCTGAAGACAATACAAAAGCTTGAAGATTCACATGAGAATGTTCAAGCACCAAATAAATGTGGTGCAGTTCACCAGGACTCGTGGCCCCCACAAGCGGATGGGAGGCCGCCGCGGTGACCCATGACAGTCACAGCTGCTTCGGGGAACTGTCTGGGAGGAAGCCGTATGGGAAAATCCCTCGTGCCCCTGTAAACTCTGGAAATCCAGGGTTTAACTGAGCAGATTGGGAAGAACTTGTTCTCAGATTACCACCTTCTCTACCTCTCCGGCAAGCTCGGAGCTGGGGACGAGGGGAGGAAATCTTGCACCCTTACGGCAACTGCCGACCCCCAAGGCAGCCCCCGCTCCCCAGCACCGCCCCGGCCGTGGACAGCGAGGAACCCCCCCAGAAGAAGCGGGGGGGGTCCGAGCAGGGGCCGCCGCTGTGCCAGGGCAAGTGCCCGTGTGAGCGCCGCTGTCCCGCGGTCCCAGGGCTAGTGCCAAGAGCCGCTGTCCCGCCGTGGCCCCGGGGCCAGTGCCGCTCTCCCCCTTCCCGCTGCTCTTCTCCCTCGGGGACACTCTGTCCGAGGGGTCCGAGGGGTCCGAGGGACCGAGTCCCGGCGCCGATCCCCCGTGTCCCGCCCCGTCCCTCCGCCCCGCGGTCCGTCACGCACCGGCGGCGGCCAGGCGGCACAGCAGGGCGCTCAGCAGCAGGGCCTGTCCCGGGCCGGCGGAGCGCAGCATCCTCGGCGAGCGGATCTGGCGGGTCCCGGCGGGTCTGAGGGCGGTGAGTGCAGAGGGGCGGGAAGCGCTGGCTTATATGGTCGGGGAGAGGCGGGGACATCGGCACCTCCCGCGGGGCAGCCGGCGCGGCCGGCGGTGGGAGCGGCGGTGGGAGCGGCGGGGGCCGGCGGGACCAAGGGGCAGGGAATGTGGGCGGCGGAAGCGCCCGGGTTGAGCAAGCGGAGTGGGGGATCTTCGAGGAAAGCCGTGAGGAGAGGAGCACTGAGGGACGGGCGTCGTGCCCCGGTCCCGGAACCGCGTCCCAGGGCACACCTGGACGTGCCCCCCTGCCCGTTTGGTGTCCCCATACACTTGTGCCGCCCCTCGCTTCCCCTCTTGGAATAATGGTGAAACTGGGCACCACTGGATAACTAGCTTCAGCCCCTGCCAACCTTTGGCTTGGCTGTCAAGGGGCAAACAGAACCCCAGCTCGGAAATGGCTGCTCTGTGGGGCAGCTGGTCATGCAGAAGTGATGTTGGGTTAATTAGCTTTGATCCTGTACGTTCCGAAGGGCTAAATATGTCAGTCCGTGCCTCTCCACACAGAACGTCGGACACTGGTGCTCTCAAGTAAATGACATTCTCTGTTCCCTCACGCCTCAAGAACGCGCACCCTCTCAAGGCTCACCTTGAGACACTGGACACCAAGTAAGTTTCAAGTGTTCAGGGCTTCGTACCTCTCCTCTTCCATAAACCAGGGGTCTGTTAACCCTTTTCCCACAAGCTGACATTGGAAAGGTATTCAATTTTAACTGGTAACAGGGAATTTGCCTCTGACAGAGAGTTTTCTGAATCTCAGCCTTTGTGCCAGGCTCCTTGGCCCCTCTGGGATATATGTGGCCCTCACGGTGCTCCCTTTCTGGGCAGTTTAACCAAGCTTCGGAGCCGGAGCGGTGCGTGCTGCAGTTCTGTCTAATACTCAAGCTCTAGAGGGAGCTGTGTTCGTACTGAGCTCAGGGATCTGCCTCGGGAAGGTGGGAAACAGGCTATGCGGTAGAACCTGTGTCATAGTCCAGGGAGATATATACATTTACAGTCTTAAGTTGACTCTTCTTTTTATTTTGATACTGCTTTGTTCAATGTATCTGGAAAATATAGGTAAGAGACTAACTGGGAAATTTCATATTTAATTGCTTTTAGTTTTCAAGATTGACACATACTTAGATGCAAGCAATCAGTTCTGTCTAATAATGCAGAATAAATGCATATGGACCAAACTACAAAATCCGTTTCAACCAGTTTACAATTCATATAGTGTGTTCCAAGGCACACCTAAACCATGGATTTTTAAATTACTGGCATACCTTCATTAAAATCTAGCTATACACCTTCTCATTTTCCTGCCTTGTTTTTGATCAAATTGCAGCCATGTCTCTATGTAGTTGTATGCCAGCATTACATCAGCCAAAAGTATACAGACCTTGTGCGTCTAGCTTTTCAAGATTGTGGCCTTATAAGATCACAGCTGATTTTCAGAGGACTTCACAAGGAGAAACAGTAGTCACTTGTTTAAAGAAAAGAGATGCTTATATGGAACTTTAAAATCACCTTTAGGCTTTAATTCTACCTAATTTCCTTGTAGTTCCGTCACAAAAGATGCAAAGTGGGTCAGCAGGGGTTTCCAGTTTTCATGTAGATAATCTAAGGATCCTCTTCTCTTTCTCATCCTTCTCATTCGCACCTCTCCTGCCATGAACTCCCATACATGAGATAGGTGAGGAACCATCCAGACCTTGTCCAGACTAACCAGTGTGACCGCTGTTACCTCATTCCAGTTTCCAGCAAGATATTTTGGTGTTCACTAACATTAAGCTTTTAGAGGTCCTTCTCTGTGTTGCTGAATGAGGGGGGTACCAGTTTGCCAAACTAAACAGTTTAAACCAGCTTACCTACCAGCTTAGGGGAGTTGTGTGGTTAGAGGAAACGGGATAACTTTACCAAGGTAGCCATTCTGAGGGAATGAAGTTGAAGGGAAAATTTGAAAGATGGGGGAAAGACAGCATGCCAAGGGGGGCAGTGTAGCTAGATCAGGCTGGCATGGGAAGGGCATGACGGAAAAGGGAGAAGCACTGAGGTGAGGAGCTGCTGCAGCCTCTGCTCTTCTTGCTCCTCTTGGACCAAGTGCGGATTTGACCACAGAGTGAGAACTGCTCAGCACTGCCTGGCTCCACTGAGAGCAACCTCGCAGTACCTGACATGGATATCTGCTCAGCAACTAGCAGTGTTACTGTGACATTCTGGTCACATTTCCTGCCCACTTCATCGTATTTTAGCAGCTCATTTAAAACAGAAAAATTGCATCTTATTTCAAACATATGTTTCTACATGCAAGCAAGCATTCTGCTCACATAGAGTTTTGACCATTTTTTGAGAAACTTAGTGTTTGGCTCCCATAGTGGAATGCCAAAATGTAGGCATCGACTCTGTACATGTTTCTGACCATTTTAGTCGTCCTCTGCTCATTTTTACAATCTGCAGAGAAAAAAATTACTCCTAAGCTGAAATCCATATTTTCTGAGTGTAGTCATCTAAAGGAAGTCAAATTAATTTATTTAAATGTTGAAATAAATGGAACAATACTATTGGTGGAGGATCTTGCAGTGACTTTTTAGAATATGTTGGAGACATGCAAGAGCACAAGCCTGGCTCCATGTTTTAGTTTAGATCACCTCTTCCACTCTGTGACATCTTCACCCTGGTGAACGGAATGGAATCAAGGTTGTTCACCGTTGCGAAGGTTTGCCAGATTACAAGTGGATCTACAGATTTTCTTCCCTTGATATGTATGTTACAGAACCAATTCACATATTGATTATGGGAAAAGCGATTAAAAAAAAAAAACACCAAAACACACAGTAAATCTGTTCAACTCCCTTTTTTAAAAAAGAAATACATGTATTTATTTTTACTGTATGACCTGCCAGGTCTTCAAACTGGTTCTCTTAGAAAGAGCTACAAAGTAATTACTTGCTTAGCAAAGCAATTGCAACGCTGTGTTTTCTCTACTGTCATATATAATTGTTGAAGTGTAATGCCTCAGGTGACATCAGTGACAAATAGGTTTCTTTACGTTGATAGTTTTGCAAGATTGTAAGTAAAATTTTGTAATACTTATTAGGGTTTTGAAATTTTGTAGTGTTATAAAACATTCATCATTCCCTGCTAACATAAAAGTCAGCAATATTGTCATGCTCAATAGTGTAAAATTTCTCTTGAGTAAGATCTGAAATCTCTGGGAGCTTTTTCCAAAATGAAATTGCTCTTAAAAAACTACAAGTAGCTGTGTTTATTCCTGAAGTCTCCGCACCAGTGAAAGCCCCAGTATGGTGAATTCCTTGCGTATCCCTGATTTTCTTTTTATCTAAACTATTGTAAATGATTCTGTGATTCTAAAATTACCTTGTGATTTTTTAAAATCACATGCAGCTTAACTGAAGATAGCAGAGCTGCACTGGAATAGGACTGGTTTAAAATTTAAATCCAGTTCTGACATTAATGGATCTTCCTTTCACTCTTTGAGAAAAAATAATGAATAAGCAAAGTTCATATAAAAATTGTAATCAGAAAAAATATTTCTTACAAGGGAATCACACGGACAATATGAATTTCTTGTTGATAGAAGAAATCAAGAAGCAAATATTTGTATGTTTTTTTCTGACATTCTGCTTTCAAATTTTGTGTTGTTACCACATTAGTCATATGCACATCTCCTCACTTATCACATCGATACTTTAAAAAGAGATACTAGCAAAAGAACAAATCTTATGGGATTTTTTGTGTCTGGATGGGCTTTGGGATCCTGTGTGGAAATGATGCCTGCTTGGGGGAGAGGCATCCCAGGGAGGGAGGCTTTGAGCCTTTCCCACACTGAAAATTCTTGTCATCATCCCTTCGGTGTTGACTCCAAGTTTCTATTTCTTACTCACAGAACTATGTGTGATGCATTTATTATCCTTTTCAAAAGTTTGGTTTGCAGCATTATTTCCTAAAAAGGAATTTGACCAACAGATTTGCATGCATTCAATTTCTGTGATCTTCAGGAACACCTCAGGGTAAATACAATTGTGTAAATGAAAATTTAAACTACGCTTTGGTTAGTTTGGTGCATAGAAGACTTCAGAAAGCAGATGTTGATAACAATACCACAACTGTGTTGTGAGGAGGGATGGGGCACTGCTGCAGTGCCGTGTACAGCTGTGTTTGTTTACTAGTGACGCTCTCCTGCTAGAGGGCAAGCTATTACAAAAGTAGTAATAAATGTCATTGAAGCACAACAGAAACTATGGAGATAGAGACTAAACTATATCAATTCCCTCTGCACCGAGATGCTTTTGGCTGGCCAAATCAAGCTGTTCCAAGGTTGAATTTGTTGTTTGACTCTGTGATTCTGTCTATCTTCCCTTTATTCCAGGTGTTCCACCGCAGCTGTGAGGTAGCCTCTTGGGGTATTTAGTTTACCCCATGATATCTTAATGACATCTCTCTTGTAATATTTATTTTTCTGAAATGACACTAGACACAACTGCAACTTCCAGACCTTATTGACTTAGGTTTTTTTCTTGTGCCTCAAATTTTTGAGGAAGAGACTAAACTGAAAAAAAGGCAACATAAACATTAAGTGACAACAAAACCTGTTTAAAAGTAGGCAAGTACATTAACAGTAACATCTCTCCAGTCTCAGCTCATGACTCTTTACATTTGAGGACTGAAATAAACGCATTTTACTAGGCAGTTATTTATAACTGTTAGAAAAACTTATTTCTCTTTCTTAGCAACTGTTAAAAAACATGGATTTTTTAATATTAGATATAGCATATATAACTTCTCAGTGAAGGTAGAGCTAGTCAAATTCAGTGTTCTTTAAAAATATTTGGTGTGATCATGCCTTGAAGATTAGGCAATTACACGGGTAAAATAAACAAAGCTTAAATTTGAACAAATATGGTCTCTAGGCTGTCATTAAACTTAGGAACTGTGAGAGAGGAAAAGGTAAACAGCACTCTGTTTGACTTTGTTATTATAATGTTTGATCCTCTTGTAAAATAGCTTTCTCTTTTGGAGTAATTTGATACTACAAAAAATATTCTGCTCTAACCAGCAAAATTAAATTGAGAATTTCTTTAATATCCTGCATCTCTTTGTTGATGCTGCCTTTATCGCCGACTTGGGGGTGAGTAGATTAAAGATAACTGGAAAGTGGATCAGTTTAACTGTAGGAGAATAATTCTGGATTTGATAGTCAGACATAATAACCCTGCTATACCAATGCAGTTCATCTGTTGAACAGCACAGGAGACTTTATTCTGAATTATTTTTCCAAAATCTGTTTGTGTGTGTCACAACTAAGGAGAGTCAATGAGTTTATCAAAAACAGATTTGACTCTTAAAAAAATACCAGAAGTTCCCAGTTAGTACTGATGTATAGAGGGAACTCTTTTATTATCATGCATTTTGAATTATGGTCTATGCACCAGTAAGGACATGAGGTAGATATGGCTTTGATTCTCCAGCTTCAGGCAGTGGATTGCTGTGTCCTTTCTGTCATCCTACTGTTCCATCACAGTACCCCACTTTTCTCCTTCCCGAGGAACATTAGCTGCGCAGTGTTTCTCACTGCAGTTTGTATGTTGCTGTACATTACTACAAGAGTCAGCATTGATTCCCTCCTTGATTAGAGGCAGCTTTAAAATTCTGAAAGTTTTCTGTACAATGGCAAATGAGTGATTTCTAATGATTGACAGTACAGTGCAGTCTTTATTTTGAGCTTTCTAAGTTTCTATTGCAATCAATTAGGTGAAAAAATATTATTCTAATCACTGCAATTTAATATACTTGTGTTTCTGTTTTCCTCAGAAAATGAAGCATGTCAATTATAGCTGAAATATAATATTGAATATGAATTCATATTATATTAGTTACTGTGTGTGATTAAAGAAAGGCTTTTGTTTAGAGGTTTTGAAAATAAATAGTGGTATGCTGTTCAGAAGAATATATCTAAAGTTGTATCTTATTCTTTAGTAAAGTCATAATGGAAAGAACACTATCCAAACACTACTTGTATTATATATTTAACTTGACATAATTGCTCACAGATTACTGAATAATTAAATATCACTGTAAAGTGAAATTGTTTTTTAAAACATGAAACAACAGCGTAAATAAGACATAAAATTTACTAAAATTAGCATACTTGTGCCCCCAGTGTCAGAGTTTTTTGTTTTCAAGGAACAAAGAAAATAATAAAGTACATAAAAGGCTAATGCAGCACCATTGATTTGAGCATTACATTCCTGTGTGTGTGGAGCAATCCTTCTGCAGAAGCCAGCACACAAATGCATTCTTTCACCATATCAGGGGGCTGACAAAGTGCACATCTAGTGACTGTGTGAATTGTTTTAGGAGTTAGTAAAGAAGGGATGAGAGGAAACATCCAGTAACCAGTATTCAGCTAGAAAAGCTGTGTGGTTCATACAAAGAGCTGAATGTTGAACCCTGAAAGTCTCAAGGATTTTAAAACAACTGTGTCATTATATTCCGTATTTTAATGTCTTAGGAGTCAAGTCAGGGTCTCTTGTAAATGCTGGCATTCCAAAGGGTTACCTTTGAACATGTAGATGTCTGATTAGCTCTGTTTAGAGCTTTGTGAGTGTATTTGAGAGGAATGTAAAGTACGTAGAGGAAATATGTTCTTATGTTGAGTGTTTTCCTCAGAACAAAAACTAAAAATGATTGATCAATCTGAATTTCCAAATCTTTTCCCATAAAGAATGCATACTTTCAGATTATTCTATTAACAGCTGGATAGGCTAGGATTTTAAGTTTGAAAAACTGTTTTTATTTTAGGCCAGATAGCTTGTTCTTTCCCCATGATATTTAACTTCAAAATAACATCAGACTAGTTTTTGTTTCCTGGTATGTCTCCATCATCTAAACCACACTGACTCCTGCTGAGACCCCCAGGAATATGTTGGACTATATAGCTCTTCTTTTTATAGACTTAAAAACCAACTTGCATTTAGACAAACATCAGAACTATTCACTTTTTAAATATAATAATGCAGCATAAGACAGAAGAGAAATGTAAGTTCATACTAAATGAAAGTTCTCTACTCATTCTTTCCTACAAAACACAGTCCTGCCCTCTAGGTTTGCTCTTTTCTCCACAGTCATTTATGGGTTGCAGTAAACTTGAAGAGTCCCTTTATGTCCCTAGAAAAAACTTCTTTTTAAACTCAGTTAGGAGAGTTGGCTTCAAATTCATTGATATTCGTTCCCTGATCTTTGCAGCAATCATCTCCCCTTCTCTGCTTTTACTGCAGGCTCCTTCTTGCCATGCCTCTCATTCATGCTTTTTCTCCTTTTCTTTTTAGGAGAACATAACATACAAGACATAATAAACTGCAAACATCTAATGAGAGAACATCCACTGCAACATTAAGACAGAATGTAATTCTGCAATAAAAACTCCTTTGTAAGAAGAATTCTAAAATTATCTCAAATGCTGCAGGCCCTGAATTTTGTGGCTAATCATTACTTCACATGCATTTGCTTGTTTTTCACTGTTGGCCATTGGAACCAGACTTGTCAGTTCTTAAATATGTAAGTACCAGAACAAAAAGATGTGAATTGTCGCCTAGTAACTCACAAGACTTGGCAAAAGACTTCCAGAGTTTTACAAGTTTATAAAGCAGGGTCGTAGGACTTATTCTAATACTGGCACAAATACATCTAAATTCCCATTAAGAAGTTAGGGACAAAGATTTGAAGACAAACTACTTTTCATCTACAAAATGTAGTAATCTCAGGGCATACTACATTATCTATAGTATCCTTGTAAGCAGTTGCCCGTCTTGGACTCTGGTGAATGATAAAAGGCACTAGTGAAATCAGCTGAGGTGTAGGAAATGCTTGTCTGAAGCTTAGCTTTCCACATAACCACTTTTATTTCACATTCAGTGAAATAAATGACACCAGTCAGCTAAACCTAATTTGACAAAGAACACCATGATGTGGAGTAAGAGCATGCAGATGGGGAAAATCATAGATTTTCCAGGTCCTCCTTATGAAGAAATATTTTCTACATCTGGGATGATGACCTAGAAGAATTAGAATTTGAGAATTGCCTCAGACTGTTCATTGAGAACCAGATTCTCCTGAACATGATGCACAGAAGACATCCCTTCAAAAGAAAGGCCTAATCATCACCAAAACCTAGAAGTTAGAGTAAGAAGGACTAACTGTAGTTATTTTCCTGAGGCCTCTAACCTACAATTGATGTTGTTATGCAGTACTTACATCTTAGTTTCCAAAAATAGTTTCTAAATCACTATATAAAAAGTTACATACTAGATCTGATTTAAAAAAAACTAAAAACAAACCCAGAATTTTCTATCATCACATTTGACTTAAGAGGCATTTCATATTCTTTTTGTGTAACAGAAGTGCCATTGAATTCAAAGTGCATGACAAAGACATACAAATTTCAGAAATGTTGACGCTTATCAACTTGAGAAATGACCAATTTATACAACCTTGAGTTGTGCTCATGAAAATAAAATTCATACTTATGTAATGAAGTTCAGTTTAATAAAGTAATAGCAGCACTTCAGCATATACAGAGTGCGCCGCTTGAGAAGAGGGTTCCAAACAGGATGGCTAGATTTGTGTCTTTTCTAACTCCTCAGAAAACCAATAAGCCTGATGTTCAAAAAGTATGTGAAGCAAGTATAGTCTTCCCCTGTTAATCAGTGCAATGGCTACTTCTTTTTCACTTTGTCTTTTGACAAGAGGATGTGAGAAGGGAGAAGGAAATAGAATAAGGTTGGGTCTGATAGTAATGCAGAAGCATATTTACATTCACACGGGTACACAGATACAGCACAGTATAGCTCATGCTGAATCACCCACAGGTATGTCCAACAGTTAATCTTGTTCGAGGTAGTTCCATTTTCTAGTGCAAGTCCTATATGTAGGGGGAAAAATTACTGTACAACTTGCATAATTTCTGCATAGATGCCTTTGTGCCAGTAAAGGTCATTGAGTATCAACAACAACTCCCTGTGCTAGCAGCATATTAGTTTTTAAAAGATATAGGAAGATTTGGAAAGATTTAGCTAGATATGTGTAGCTTTGCCCTTCCTTGTGAATAATCTGTAGCATCAATGCTAATATTTTTCTTTATCGAATATAATGTTGTGCAATACTGCAAGACACTAAAGGCAGATGGCAGTGGGTCAATCAATTAGCAGTCCCAAGAGGAGTAAAATAGACTGTGGACCTGCTGTTGCAGTCCTTGATAGTGTTTCCATTTTCCTGCCTTTTTTTTTCATGATCAGCCCTGATAAATTTTCCAGAAATACTTTAGAAAAAATAAGCCGATATCATTATCTAGATTACTCAATTCCAATCTTAAATATTACTTTATTTTGTTAATAACTTTGTTGGAGTTTTAAGATCTTTTAAGTATTTCAATTAAACGCAAAATCTGGCTAGGCAAACAAAGTCTCGAACTGCATTTTTCAAATGTTTCACAGGATCCTTTTCTCCCTCTCCTCTCTTATTCTGAGAGGCACGATTGACACAGGCACCTCTTGACAAACAGCAGAAGCTTGAGCTGAGATTGTATCACCTTGGAATTTTAAAATCTCAGGAGGAATTTGAACCCTTGGTGCTGCCTTTTCAAACACTTAGTACTGCCAGGCAGAGACAGACATTCAAAAGGACAGGTGAAGTTCCATTAAGAGAGGTTAGAATTGGTTGGATTTCAGCTTTCAAACTCTTTTGATATAGTATTTAAACTCTTATAGTATAATTCTGCTTATATCCAGACTTGCCATCTTGTGTTGAGTCCAAAGCTATGACCTCTGAATCTGAAAGATTGCATCCACCCCTTCTGTTTCTGAATATTTTATAGGTTCTCAAACTCATTCAAAGTTCAGTAAGTGTTTATTCTTTGTTACTTGTTTGAAAAGACTGACTGAATTAACTGGGAAATCATGTGTAGTGGTCTGTAAAATACACAACTAAAAGTTTTGATTCTTAATAAGGTTTTTGAATTAATCATGCACTGAGAATTTTCTCTTTCATTAATTGTGCAATTCCTAAACCTTCTTATGATAAAGATTATGGTACTCCCATTTTCTAGGAAAGAAAGGATGTAGCACTAGGAACTGGAACTCAGACAGTTTCTGAATATTAACGTGGTCTGTTTTGCCCATGAATTGACTAATGCATTGCTCAGTGATTCATTTGAAGCAGGAATCTGAGAAACAAAAAATACTGGACTCACAAAAGCTTTTATGGGGTACTTGAAAGAAAGGACGGAGTCGGACATTTTCTTGGACTTAGACTTGATGGCACAGAAGAAATTTGAAGTCAAAAGAAACTAAGAGAAGGGCACAGGGAGGCACATTTTCTTGCTGCCAGAAAAGAAGCAGGGAAGTTTTGTTCTGCTTCTTTGGCTATTTTGCCAGTGATCACCAACATAGACTCCCATTTGATAAAGGCAGGCAGGGAAACAGCTTTTATTAGTCTCTTTTACCATCCCCCCTTACTCTGTCTTCTGTAACTTACATTCATAACTTGATCTAATTTAATTCTGAAAGAAAACTGCTCTTCAAAAACGAATGTTGCAGCGAAAAATGCAGTTAAGTAAACTGGCTCTCAGGTTTTAGTGTCTATAATAGCACTACATTTTGTCTTGATCACTTGGCAAATACAGCTTGTGTTCCATATGTTTCCACAGCTGTTGCTCAGCAACTAATTCCCCTATTAGTTGAGAGGTTTAATCCTTTACCCGGCTGAGTTCTCCATCTCCGTTCAGGTCTGTCCCACCAATTCTTCCAGTTCTCTCTCTGTCAATAGAGAAGTCGCAAATAAACAGCATGTTAAGTGCAATGGAGATATAATTAACATTAGATATTTTTGTATCCTTAGCTTTATTTATGCCTCAGAACAGTAGTTCTGGTGAAATGTTTTACAATAATTTGCTTTCAGAGACAAGGGTAATTAATATAAGTAAAAATACATAGTCATTACATCTGTTCTTTACTTGTGTTTTTTCCTGGATAGCTTACTTGCTCCAGATAAGTGAACTGTAACAGCAAGGCTGGAATATGCGAATAACTATACAGAAATCCTTTGACTAAGAAAGTTGTGCAGGTTTAATTGTATTAGCAAATATTTTCAGCATAAATCCAGCCTCACCAGTAATCAACACCAGAACTGTGTGCTAGGTTTTTGTTTCAAAACTCTGATGTTTTTTGCTTTTCATTTGGCCTCTTTATTTGAGGCCAAGTGAACTTTTCCTTTTTGTGCCCTTTTTTTTTTTTTTATTTTGAGCAGAAATGTTCCTTGATGTATTTCCTCTCATGCAACACCAGGTAAAAAGTGTATGAAAGACAGATGTAGGATTTCTGAAGAAGAGGATGTGGCATCAGAAATAGGGAAGTTTGGAGATTAGGACACTTTGTCATACCCTAATGCAATGCTGGATCCTAATTTAATGATCTCTATTAAATGCCTCTTACCATTCCCTCTTCTAATCAATATGCTCTCAGAAACTCTATTGTCTATGCAAACTACCTATTACAAAGTTTAGAGTACAAAATTTACAATTCTGTAGTGTCACCACACACTTTTTTACATGTAAATGCTTATACAAGCCGCAAGGCATAGAAGAAATGGACCTGGTTTTCTTAGTGCCTGTGACATTCAGTAAAAAAATGTATCTAGCTAATTCAGTTTAGACTATTTTATGTTTTGCTCTTCTATGAGGAGGAATAGAAGTAGCCCATGAAGTCATATGAATGTTGTTACATTTGTTGTATTGGTGACAATGCTTTTTTGCTGCATGATTTTATTGCTTCCTTATTTTTACTTCTGTTTACAACTACTAGTCCTTGTTCTCTTTTCTTAGGCAGTTTTTAGAAGACTAAAAGGGACAAGTCCCCATAAATAACATCTTGATTTATGTGGATATTTCCAGACAAAAAAATAAACTGATATAATTTGAAGGAATAAATTCCCTGGAACATCTCCAAATTGATATTGTCCACATGGGGAATCAATATTATTTAGCTGAAGACTGTCAAGACCAAACTAGTCATTCTCCTTTTAGCAGCACTGTTTATTAAAAAGAAGAGCTCACCCCCACACACACTGCACGAATTCTGATTTAATAAAAACAAAGAAAATGCTTTTAGCTCTACAGTTCATCTCATTGTTTTTATCTCACTGCTTGTGTTCTTGCACTCTTCTCCAGACTTTTGCTCAAGTAACAGCATTAGTGTGGTGCCTTCAAAAACTGGAAGCTGAACTCATGACTGAATAGGTCTGCACCTACAACACAAGGGATATGGGGAAAACAGCCATGTTTCAGGAGTTCTTTTGCTAAGAATTCTTGGATTTGAGACAAAGTATGCTTTTAAATCACTGAACCAAGTCTATTAATTTATAAGGACTTGAGAATCTTTGTGTAATATAACTTGCAAAACTCAATCCGTTAATTCACCTATTATAGTATAGAGCTTTGAACAAACTGACCTAATGTACATAAGAGAACACAGATAATACCATCACTGAGAATTTTCACTGAGGAATTTGCCCCTCTCCTTATAGAAATAAAACATTAAACTGAGAAACATGGAAGTAATTTCAGCTTGCATATAAACAGCTCAAATAATTATTATTTGTATGTTTTAATATTAACTAATTTAAATATGATATGAAAACAGCAGGGACCCTTTTTTTCCAATTATAGCAATAGGTAGACTCTTAAGGCAGGTAGACTCTTGTTAAAATGAGCATAATGTTTTCCCTTGCTATCAAGCATTTGGACTCAGATTTTCTAGGAATATGAAGGCATGACGTTAAAACTGCAGAAGCAATTAAGAGAGCATCATGTTTGCAAATTGAATGGCAAATCTGATCCACCTGTTGCTGACTGCTCATTTTCAGGGCTCTGTGATTTCCTGAAGTCTCTATCTACAATCATACTTTTATTTAGAATACACAGGCTAGACAAGGAGGAAAAAGAAATAAAGCAAGGGCTGAGGTCATCAAGCCCACTCAGGTGTCCACCATCTACAGGAGAGCAGGGACTGGGCTCCTGCTGCCCAGGATGACATCTGTTGTTTTCTGCAGCCTGATGGAAGGTTGTCTCAGCTGTGAATTCTCAGGTTCCTCCAGTTAGCAGCCTGATTACCTGAACTGTGCTTAAGGATTGTACCAAATTTTTCCACTGCATTACTTTGACCCACATGAGGTTGGACACCTTCACTGAAAGCATGAGGTATGTACCAATTTTTATCTTTTGTTTTTCTTATTCAGTATTTTCTACAATGTTTCAGTCTGCTTTTGCTTCAGTTTTATTTTCCCCCAGATATACTTCTTGACTCCAAATCTTTCTTTAGAGGACCAGCTAGAGAAAGTTTTCAAAATGTCTTCTAAAGCTTTGTTTATAAAATGCTATATCTGCAAAACTCAATTAATGATTGTCAGACATTGATGGGAAAATACCTCACATCTATCACTCTAATTGTCAAATGAGATTTTATGTAGCAGAAATTAAGATGACCTGGACAAGGAGTAAATCTCATTAACTTTGCCAATTAATAAATTGAGAATGAGAAGGAGCATAGTTCCCCTCCACAGTTCAGCAGTAGTTTATAAAGAGGAGGGACCAGTTAGAGGAAAAGAAGATATCTTCCTTTCTGAAAGGCTTCAGTCTCAGCTAGAAACTTGCATTCTTTTCTTCTTCTGCACTTCTCATCTGTTGTGTGGTGACCAGACTGAAGGTTTGTAGCAATTTACTGTACATTTGCTTATGTTTTGGGGGATGTTACTAACTAGAATTTTGTAGCTACTCGTACCTGTATGTCTATTGTTTTGTGGTATGATTCGTGGCAACATTTAGAACATGTTATTTCTTTACTTGGTTTTGATATGTTGAAGTTTCTAGTAGTTGGCAAGTGGTTAGGGGCGTTTTTTGAACTAAAATCAGGTATTGAGAAATGTTTCTGTGTGAAAAAGCTATAAAGAAGACCTTGTTATTAATTAGGAATTTAGCCATGATTTCCAAATATCAGGTTGGTTGGTGTTTTGTTTGTTTGGTTTTGGTTTGTTTGGTTGTGGTTTTTTTTGGGTTTTTTTTTGGAGCAGAAAATTCATGCAGCAGCTAGTGAATACCTTAACATTTTAGAGCTTTTTATCCATAAAGAAATAAGTAAGTGGTGAAAGGGGTAATACAGAATCTCTCCCATATTACAAATGAGTCTTTAATTCATGTTACAAAAGGCATGCATTGCACTGTCTGACACTGCTTATATGAAGATTGCAGTGCAGAATGTGTCTTGGCCTATTTAAAGATGCACTGGCACCTCCCCATTTTCCACACCTCTTGGAATGAAGCTGGATGCTTGCACAGTACATTTAAGTGGACTTGGAGTTCATAAATAGGATTTTCGGTTTCCTGTAAGCTTCTACATAATGGGATAAAAAACAATGGCCTCTAGACCTCTCCCAAGCGTTTTATACCTGTCAGACAGAGAGAAGGGAAACTACTTTCTGTAAGAGATATCTGAAATTTTCAGAATGGAGAAGGTCCAGTGAAAATGTCAGAAAACTGACAACAAAAAAGTGCAAAAGATATATAAATCAGTGGGATGTGACTCCATTATAAAGAAAGATGTTTCCAAAATACTTTTTAATCTAGTATAATGCTAGAATTCCATATGTCTTTGCATCAATACAGTTCCCTGTGACTGAAGGTTTTTAGTATCATCTAAAAAGTGGTTTAGTCTGAAATCCGTGAAAGTTGATAAAACTCACAGAAAGCCTTTGTGATTTTGCAAGCATTTTCCACCTCTTTCTGAGGCAGAGAGCTGATAATGCAGCCTTTTAGAGGGTCCCCAAGGAAAATGAAGTTCTTCCAAAACATAAATATGTAGTTTGAAATCACCAGTCACAGTCATATGAAGATCTGTAAAACAAAAGGAGCCTTTTTGGCTTTCCCCCCACCAACAGTGATCAGGAGAGGACTTATACTGTGGACAAGAGGGTGATTGAGCTCCACATCAGTACTTCAGTAAGTGCTTTTAAAGTAAGTGCTTCACCTTCAATCCTAATTGTCAGCCAAGATTTCTAATTCTTCCATCTTTGCAGGAAGGTAATGCAGTGGTGAGATGGGCCTTGTAATTCTTCATATATTATTAGGATTCCTAAGAGGTACCACAAGCAGTGAATAAGATACTAAAAGCAGTACAGTCAATTAATAAAAGGAAATAATAATCTAATCTGCTAATGGTCAATAACTATTCCAGTGACTGAAGATTTTAACAGAGCAGCCAATATAAATGGTACACTATAGCTGTTTCTAGACCAAGATCAAGTCCACCACTAAACCATGCCCCTAAGTGCCACATCTACATTTATTTTGGTGAACCATGAGGGAAAAAAAGCCTGTAAAAAGGTGCTCAGACACTTGATTTGAATGTTTCATCATCTTAGAAAATAATCCTTAAAATGGCACTTATATCAACAGCTCTTTTTTCTTTGAAATGAGTTAATTTAGATGTTATAATTCAGGTCTTATCTACTCTGCCAAAAGTAAAGTGTTATTGCATCTATAAACCACTCATCTTTTTATTCTTTCTTTTTTTTTTTTAATCCAGTGTAACTGACAACTATAATTCTGTTTTGCATCTTTTGAAGCATATATTTCTGGTATTTCTTTATTATTTGTGGTAGCCAGAGGATAGAACTTATTTTTTCAGTCTTGTATCTTTGCTCCATGTTGATATTTTATGAAACACTTTCTCTGATTCCTACCAGAATAACAAATGGTATTTTTAATTTAAAGATATTTAGCAATGTAAATGTCTTTCTGCAAAAAGAACGTAGTGAAGATTATTCCAGTTTGTGTATGAGAGCCAGAGAATTGTGTTGAAACCTTTAGAGGTATGGTTCTGTTTGGAGTAGGGGTGGGGCTGTGTGGTGGGAAACAAGAAACTAGTGAAATAAATGGAGTTTACACTGCAGTTACTTTATTTATAAGTGGCTTTATCTAATCTATACATAACTTAAAATTTTCAATTATATCAACAATTATATTTTTAATGGTCCACTGTAAGGACTGAGAAATAGAGCAGTGGGCATGCAAAATACCAAAAATATAAACTTTAAGGTCCCTTCCAATAAAAATCATTTCGGATTTTGTGACTGTAAGATTTTTACTGACAGAGGAAAGGCACTGATTAAAATGTAAATAATTTTTAGTCTGATGAATTTTACTTACTGCTGTCATCCATCAAGTAATTTTTAGTACAATCAAAGCTTATGATTTGTTTCCTCTACAAAAACATTTTAGTTGCATTTACAATACTCTTCAGACTTGGTTTATCTGTACCACAACAAGAAAATCTGTATTGCCTTGACTTACAATATGAGAATGAAGCCATAGCCTACAGCTCCCATTTCATTTTCTGTCACTGCAGGATGTGCACAGTGATTGTACAACATTCTTGGCTGTATCCTTGATAATCCCAGGACATCTGGGCCAAAACCTCACCATACTGTAAATATGTTCAGATCAGCAGAATGTAATCAAAAGAGGATGAGCTGATCTTCTGCCAAGACAGCTAGCCAAGTAGGAAAGGATTTTAAGAAGTATTAATTAATCATTTTCTAGGAACATTAAAGATCTGCTAATTGTTCGGGGAACTGGAACAAGAGATAGCTGTAGCCAGCCAAAGGTTGTTCTTCTCAACAAAACAGTTCCCCCCATACCAGCTTTTACACCAGGCTCCCTGTTGTTGTTTTGAAGAATCAGCTTTGTAAAGAAGTTTGTTATTTATGAATTGAAAGGAGATGACCTGTCTGTCAGTAGAAGTTACATAGTACATTCCAATTCTAGATTGTAGGCTTATATTACAGATTTATCGCACTTAGTTTTCTGTTGTGCTCTAATATGACCACTGTCATAGAATTATTTTACTTATCTAAAGCAGGAATTCTTGGCAGATGTGCAATGGGAATTTCAGAGTGTTGTGATTTTATTTTTTTTTAATAGATTAAATTGTGCAACAATGTGTACTAGGTTATAGCCAGCTCCAGCAGTTCTTATAGTGAATAATTAATTATTGGTTATATAATATATAAATATTTGTCAAATCCAGTTTACTTCTTTAAGAAGTATTATCTTTACCAGGGACTGCAATATCACCAGACAGACAAGATACTGAAGCGGTTTCAAGTCTTTTTTTTTCGTCTCTCTCTTTTTTTTTTTTCTTTTCTTTTTTTTTTTTTTTTTTTTTTTTTTTTTTTTTTTTTTTTTTTTTTTTTTTTTTTTTTTTTTTTTTTTTTTTTTTTTTTTTTTTTTTTTTTTTTTTTTTTTTTTTAGTTAGGATTTTACTAGTAAAAGTTGAGCCTCTGAAAGGCAATGGTGACCAGGTTAGATATAAATTAAAGCAGTTTTACAAGGTTTTGAGCTTTCAGGTTGGAGGAAAGATAACAGCATTGTAGGAAAAGAACCATCCATGTCAGCAGCTTAGGTCAGCTGCTGCCCCAAGAGCTCCTCACCTTCAATTTACAGTTAAAAGGTTAGGGCTCATCATGTCAGTTTTCTTTACTGAGCAAAATGTCACAAACTTAAATTCAAGCATTTCACCATGTTAGGAAGTAGCTTCAACCAATATTGCAGTTATAGGACTTTTGATGACTACAGATAAATTTAAATGTTATCTAGGTTAACTTGCATCATGAGTGACACTCCAAGTCCTAATCTCAGCATGCTGATAAAATTGAAAACAAAAGCTTTCTTCACTCTAACAGAAATTATATATTTGTAGTCAGTAAATTGCAGCCATTTGATCCATGTGATCAAAGTAGGTTGAAGCCCAAGGACTTGATGATCACCCAAAATATGATACTAAAGCAACATGACAAAAGAACGAGCCTGTGTCTCACTGCTCCCATGAGACAAATAGACCAATAGGAAATGTTTCACCTTAGTAAGATCAGAGAAATTTTATTTACTGATTGTAATGCTGATTGGGATTCATAACCTCAGTGAGACACTTCTGGGTGTGTACTGTTATAATAAATGCACACATTTCACTGAAGAAATTAAAAGCTCTTGGCGCTAATAAGGGATATGATCAAGGCAGCATTTATTGCTAATGACATGTGTGTGCTGCTCATAAGGCACCACCTCGCCCTTCAGTAAAAATTGCAACAGACCATTTTAGAGATAAGAATGGGTGGGTACAGAGAGCGAGTTTCTTGCACAAGGACGTGTTGCAAAGCGTAGCGTGGGGACTCAAGAACATTTCTTTTTTCCAGTGAGCTAATAATAACGTACTCCACACAAACTCTGGCTTGTCAAATCCATGTACCCCACTTTTCCTCACCTTGGGGGACAGGATGAGAAATAAGGGCTAGTTTCAGAGTGACAAAAAAGCTGTGTAACTATAATAGATGGTGTGGTGACAATTCCTTGATAAAATGTGGGTGAGTCACACCCTCAACACAGACCTCTATGTAAATTGTGCAGTCTAGCCCAAAATGTCTGGCTGGAGTTTACTGACTAGGGTTCATTTTAGGTTTTATTCCTTGGCGCGTTGTTTGTCATGCAGCTCTCTCACCATGTCTTTCCCTCTCCTTCTTCAGGGATTGTTTTGTTGCTTGGTTGTTTTTTTCTTGGTTGGTTTTTTTTTTGAGGTTTTTTGTTTTGTTTAGGTTTTATTATTAATATTATAAGTATTTATATTTATTTTTTTTATTATAAGTGTTGCAGTTGCTGGTCATATGTGTGCCCCTCCTCAGAATGATTTTTTCCATTGAGGGGTGCAGGAGCAGCAGATAAGGCCATGTTATTGACTTTAAAAGCCTATCTTCTGTTTGGCTTTTTATAGATTAACAACAGTAGATATGTCTAGCTAGCTTCATAGTGGTATGGAAACATAAGGAGCCATACCAAATAAACACGGAGATTTTTGTGGTCCTCGGTCTTTTATAGCCATTGGAGAATGAACAGGATTTGGTTTTCAATACAGCTTTCAGATTAGTCAAGCAGAAAGTAAAAAATAGAGTAACTATCTCACCTCTTTTTGGGGTGCTTGAAAGAGCCTGGTAGATAAAGAGATAAAGAGGAAACAAATGAATCAGATGACTGGAATGAATCGTTGGAAGGACAACAAAGGCTGGTCAAAAGAACTTGTCCTGAAATAGACTTCCGTGCAGCAATGCCACACTTAACCAGACTAATTGTCACTAGAAAGGACTTAATGTAATCATACTGTTGATTTAATTCCTAATGTACACTGTTGCATTTGTCTGCAGTATCCAGGGAATTACCTTTCATCTTCAAGTATCTTCCTTTCAAACGATTCTTCAGTATGGTCATTCAACTATGACCACAGCTACTGAACGATACTAATGATAATACTTTAAAGGCATATGTTGGAAGAAGTCTAACAAATAAGATTTTGCTATAATGCCACTTTTCCATTGATTTGTGATTTCATTTTAATCCTATGTATGCTTTCCCTAAAAGCGTTGACAAAAAGGCAGCAATAAGTATACTTGCTATGACTGTAAGCTAGTCATGAATATACTGTTACACAACATTACTAGCTGGGATGTATATAAAAAAAAATTGGAACATAGAGCTGTGGGAATTTGAGACTATTGCAGATGCCAAATCATATAATCTTTCATAAAATGCTCAATTTCATGAGGAACATTTGGTTTGGGTTTTGAATTTTTTTTCCTCATTATAGGACTGTTCCAAAAAGCATTACTACTCCAGTAGTTACCTAATTCCTTTGAGAATCAGCCTAAAAGTACTGATAGTCACTTTGCACTCATTTGTTCTTGTGCTTAAATTTGGTTTTAATCTGAATAGTTTTTTTTCCTTGTCTCCTAATTTTATGGTTCTAAGGAAGAGAGTAACCTCATAATTTAGGCTAAAGTTGAATGCTAATTAATCTAAATACACACAGCTGTGTTCAATCCACTTGTTTGTACTGCAATATTGACTTTGTAATGTAAGGCAGGGCAGACCAGGGAGTGAGGTATGATTTCTATTCTTTATGTACAGTTCCACAAACTTGGATAGACCTGGGAGGCATGTAAAAAAGACTGTGGTAAGAATTCAGAACTTGTTCTGAAGCTTTCAATGTCAAAATTCAAATACATGTGTCCTTTACAAAGCAGCTGAATTGTATCTGCAGCCAAGAAAGAACTTATTTAGGTAAAAGATAAAAAGGTGTTATCTCTACTTTTCTAATCTTCAAAAATTCCTGAAACTTTCTCAGAGTTACAGGTGTCTTAGAGAAGTTCTTATCCTTACCTTCTTAGGTGTTCTAGGGAATGTCTATAGTAATTACCTGAAGAGCAGATAGAACATAACATGAAAGTATTTAAAACCAAAATGGATTGGTTCTTCAGTCCTAAGTTTTGCAGTTGGCAATTTGCCATCACTATGAAAATTACATCATTTCTGAAATGAGGGCTGCAAGAAGTTTCAGGAAGTTTGCAGGGTGCAGGGGAAACAAGCAATTTCATTGCTTGTGATGATGTGACACTGTGAAGCGGGGCCCTTTTTCAGGGGAAATTTGTTTAACTCCGAAGTTTTTTCATTTCAGGAATCCATGCTAGAAGATTGTTTGTTTACTAATGCTGTCGACTGACTCTAGTTACTACTATGAAAAGCACTGTGGAAACACTTACTGAAATTATTTTGTGAGCAGTGTAGATAGACTATTTCTGCAAGATGCAATCTGCTATAAGGGTACTCGTTATACATGGAATACTCCACTGTATCAGGTATGCTTCATTTCCTAATGACAAGTAGAGAAGATGCAGAGAAGACAAAGTTTCACTGACTCTTCAGTCTTGGAATATAGTAAGAAGAGGGGTGTAGTGCTAAAAAGTGAAGTGAAATAGAAATGTGGCTGTGGGTATGACCACACGTTAAGTGGCATTGCTAACACTGGCTGGGGTTAAGTGTGGCAGGTCACATGCAGCTACTGTCTAATGAGCACAGTGTGCTCAAAAGCAGAGGACTTAGCAACTCCACAAAACCCTTCTTGGCTACTGAACCTGTGACCCTGCGGCTCACATTAGACAGTGTTATTTTAGTGACTAAACATGGCAAAAAGTGAAAACTGTTCAAATATTTATATTAAAAATGTCAAGATATCGTTTTTTAAACTCTCTACTGATATTGGGAGGATGAAGGCTCTCTCAGAGAGGTTAGTATACCTGTAATGCTCATCAAATTTTCCTCTATTTAAAAATTCTGAAGCCTAGAAGTTCTTTTCTAAACTGTTTTTCAGAATGCCTGAGCAAATAAACATAGCAACTTCATGGTTTTTCCAGATGAAAATATAGTACTATCATGGAAGTGATATGCTGATCCTCAAATTCCTTTGTTTAGAATTAGAAAATAAATTCTCACCCAAAATATAAATAGTGCAACTGCATACATAAATAAAAAAGCAATAATGATATTGCATGTGAGCACTGAGAACGCTCTCTCTGTGGTTAGCTTTCCAGGGCCAAACTGAAGAGAATAATTTGCTCTCCTGGACTGGTCACTCCTGAGAATGGTGTCCCAGGGAAGGCCAGGTCAGTGGAGTCCCATCTCTGAACAGCAGAACTGTCAGTTTGACACTTGGCTTTCTAAATGGGGAAGTTTGCACAATTTCTTCAGAAATGTGCAAACGTGTTTTCATTTAAATATTGTTCTTCTGCTTTCAGTATTCTGCCACATAAAAGCAATACATACAAAAATATTCTGAGATTGGGGAAAGTTTCACAATTTCAAAATAGGACCAGATTCAAAAACCGACATAAAATCTGAAGTCATAGGTGGTTATTTGCCTGTATCATTATCATCTTGATCCTCAGATCAAATAAATTCATGTTAGTTGCATTGTCTTCAGCAGTTATACAACTTCTTAGGAGCTGAAAATTTAATCCAGTACTTTAAATTTAAAATGGCTCTAAAATCTTAAAATTACTCTGCAGTTGTGTCGTCCTTTCAAGTTCTTATTACTGAAACATTCATTTTTCGGCCATCCTTTATCCCTTTCAATTGTCTCAAACACTTGTAATAAGTGCTGCTAATACATAAGATATTATGTATTAAAATGATATTTTAATATTATATTATATAGCATATAAGCATATAATATAATATAATATTATATAGCATATAAGGAAAAACACTAACAGATGTTTAAATTCAAAAGCACTGAGAATTTTGGTAAAAGGAACAGGTCTATTTACCTGTGAGTGAATGGGTGGATATTAAATGGAGCAACTGAAAACTAATTGTGTTAAAAACTTATAGCCTTCTACTACATAGATCTGTTCTATAAATATTTGGGAGTAAGGATGTATGATGTACAAACACTGTGCAACAAATGTTGTGTTTAGTCGATAGTTTGGGTTGAAGCCCAGTCTGACATGACACACAAATTCTGTGTGGAAAGATTTTATGATATTTTCTTTAGTGGATAGTTTGGGCAGAAACCCAAACTGGGTCAGTAAAAAGCCAGTGCCAGACAAGCCTGGCTTTATTTTTTCCCCTGTTTTTCTATAATTTATCTTGAGGCTCCCATCTCTCTGTCAAGCTTGAAAAGGTTCTTTTTGGCTACAAGAATTCCCCTGGCTCAGGCACCCACAGCTTTTAAAAACTAGAACAGAACGCTGTAAACACAACAGCGCTAAAACCAGTTGTCATTGCTCTGTTTTCTGTCCCCAGGTCTTTCACAGGGCTAAGCAGCTGCTGCTGTGGGGCACATGGACATGAGGCCTCTGAAAGGGTGCAGGAGAGCCTGCTGAGGGGTGTTGGGGAGGCAACGCTCAAGTGGGGCACCAGGGCCTGTGCACCCTTGTTCTGCTGGTGGGGTGTGACCTCTCTGAGCTGGCTGCACTGTTCTGGTTGCTCTGGTTTCATAAAGAGCCATCAAATATAATTACAAGCTTTAGCACTGTTGGAAGAGAACCTTGCTTCCCATGGTGTCTCACGTGCTGTTAGGGTGGAAGGAGCCAGAGGAGGAAATGCAGCAGAGCTGAGCAGGGCCTGGGGCACCAGTGGGTGATGTGCTACAGGGGGGAGATGAGGTGGGTGATAAGACAGTAGGCTGGGCTGGGCAAAAGTTCTGTACTGTGGTCTGGAGAGGAGGAAGAGAAGGAGGAAGATGTTGGGAGGCAGGAAGGTAGAGGTGGGAATCCCCTCTTCAGTCAGAGGGCCACAGCCAACTCCACAGTTATACTGTTCATTGTGAGTCTAAAATAATACCTTGACCTTCAGCTTGGTGAACTCTCTTAGCCTGTCAACTCCTAGCACGCTCCAAAGACCCCACTGACTGCACCAAGACTGTTCAAACTTGACTAGTCCCTCACCGATTCATTCTTGGAATCTTCTTTGCTGCCACTATCAAGTTGAATGTTGCCTTCATCCCTGAAGCCATTAAAAATAATTTTGACTTGGCTTTTTTTCCTAAGTTTGGAACATTCCTACTATGCTATGTTCCTTTGGTTTCTACAACATCACTGCTACATACACAGCAGGAAGCAAGGTTAGAGTTAACTCACACATCTCTAGCTGTTTGCTAGCTTTGTCTTGCTGGAAAGAGAATTCTGAGCATAAATCATGGTCATCTGCAAGGGCATTCTTATTGCACAAAGTAAATAGATTCATAAGAGATGCTTTCATTTGCAGATGTTAGAATCAGTCAATCCCCCTGAAACTGCAGCTCCAGAATTACTTCAGCCAAGGTAATTTAGTTTTCCACAACCCTATTTCCTTATATGTTTTGGCATAAGCATTTGGCATAACAATTTTGTCAGCTAAACTGCCAGAAAACTGATAATATAAATAATAGTCTTCTACTAGCTTAGCTCACAGAGTTGACTCACTATAGATCAGATCATGGTACACCAACTCACATTTAAAATGTTTTGGTGCTGCATTAGAGGCACAATTAATGCTAGTGATTACAAGAGAAATAATTGTAGTCCTTCCTTCCAGCTGAAGAGTAAAAGGAAAAAGAACAAAGCATTGAGTTTTGTAATACCTTCAGTCGCTTTCCTGGCTAGACACATGAACTTATTTGACTCATAGAAAAACTATGATCTCTTCCAATTGTTTTACTTTCTCTAATTACTCAACTATCCCATTTGGTTTTAGTCACTATCCAGTGTCACTTTTAGGAACAATAAGCAATAAACGGAGAGTTAACTGTTTCTTTTTAGTGTAGTAACAGAAATACCTAGTAGAATAACAGAATAATTTCAGGATAGAAAAGCATGCCTTCCTTAGTTCAATAATAAATTAATTCTACCGTTTTACTTGTTGATGTGTAGACCAAGAAATAACTCCTGCTAGCCTAAAAGAAACTGTCTGCAGAAGAGATGACTCTCTTAAGTCTACTTATGATGCCAGATAGTGCTTGGTAATTGAAACTAGACAATCTAGAGATCAGTAATAAGATGCAAATTTTCAAAAGTCACTGTAAAGCAGAATATTAGATGTAAATATTATTATAGGTTTTATAATGCTTGAGGTTATTCACAATGGCAAAATGTCTTTGTGAGGCAGATGCTATTACTCAGATACTTCTTTAAGCTGGAAGTTTAAAACCTCTAGGACTGGTCTGGGCTGTTTCCTTTGCAGAAACAGCTTTAGTGATACCTTTCATACAAATTAATCTCAGATGAAAGAAAAAAAATTCTGGTCATGTGTTTTTGCATCCTCTCTTTGCATCTAATGAAGCCTGTGTCATTTGGATAAAGGTACTATATACAAATAAAAAACTTTCACAATTTATGGGCAAACCAGTCAAAATGTTGTAGAAAGGCAGATTGTAAAAACAACCTGTGTTGTTGAAAGCTTCATGATAAATACTGAAATCCCAGAAATGTAACTTACTAATAGTTTATTTTAGTCAGGAAGATTAAGTATGAAAGGCTTAGTCCTGAGGTAATAAGGTTCAACAAGTTAGTGAATTAGAATTGTAATGCCCTATGGCATCCCAGCTCTCTGTGGAAAATACGGTGTTGGTCTAGGCTTTATTAATACCTCTTTTTCCTCACAGCTTACTATCGCTCTTCTCTAAAGGGCAGTAACTTGTTCAGCCTTGGGCAGCCTGAATCCCATCAAGAAAAGAGGAAGGACAAATCATTAGAAATCTTTTCTTTGCACCATCCTGGGGAGGTTAAGGCCTGTTATGCTTTGCTATCTTTCCTCTGCTCAGTTTTCCCCTACGCTTTGGAAAGCATCCCAATTTATCTTTCTATGCCTGCTCACAGGTGGGTACAGTTTGTTCCTTTTGCATAACTGCTTCTGTGGAATGCTCCTTGACCTCTGATGGTTTGGTTTACCCATATAGATGAGCTCATATCAGTTTATTTTTCAAGGGATTATGAAGTCCAGCTGCATTTGAAGTTGTTTGCTGTATCAGGTTCCTACACTGATGACTGATGTATGTATTGACACAGTAAATGCCATTCCTCGTGGCGTGATCAAGTTTCTTGTCCTTGGTCAAATTAATTCTTCGTGTAACTGCGCTTTTGAAAATCTCTAGAGTGAATGTATCATAAGATGTCCTGTTCACAAGGAGCTCTTTTAATGGCTTCATTTCTGTCAAAATTAGTTCTTCTGGCTTTGTTATTTGTGCTAGTGTATCTCTGCTAAGATCAAGTGTGCTTCATTAGAGTAAGCAGAAATAAATCTAACTAATTTCTTCTTCCATATGTAGCCACAGTGCCATGACAAAGCAGAAAAAAAAAATCAACCATAACTAAACCCCCAAACTATCAACATATTATCAGCAAGTTTTTCCATATCTGTTGAGATTATTAAATAGCAGCACAAAGTCAGAATTAACTGCAGGACTTTGAAAGGTCACAAATTGACACATCTGCAGCACAATATTATGCCAGAAGGGTGAACTGGTTAGAAAAATAGAATGGACGTTCTTTAAATATTCAGAAAATTCATTTTCCTAGACAACTCATTATGCATTTTTCCAAGACTGTGTTAGAAGGTTTCATGGAAGAAAAATAATTTAACTGCTCAAGGATAGTAGTATGAAGAATATTTAATTCTTTTTATTCAATAGAAACTCCATGCATTTCCTGATTTTTTTTTTTTTAATAAGCATGGCTTTTAAAAAATATTTGATCTGTCAGAAGTATCTCTTACTGAGTTTTTTAGTGTGGGGTTTTTTTTTTCTGTTTGTTTTCTTGTTTGGGGTTTTTTCCTTTTTCTCTTTTTCCCCATGAACATCTAAAAGTAGAAGCTGGGTACTACTGTCTTGTGCACTGCCAGAAACTTTTATTCTCTTTTTACTTACATCTGTGACATTATAATCCCAATAACAGGTTTAGCAGAAGTAGCTAATGTAGCATTCTCAATTATTGACTCTTTCCTCAAGAACAAGTAAATTAACAAATGTACTCTGGAAACCACTGAGCAGGGGATCTCACAAGCCATTCCTATAGGGACTCTTAAAAAATATTTACAGGCCAAAGCTATACCTGGAATATGGAAAATCCATATTTGTTAATTTAATGGGAAATAGGCATTTGTATCCTTTGGGAAAATTGCAGAATATTAGCCTAAGGATGTATTTAGGTATCCTCTCAATCTTTTTGTGTTGTTTTGCTGAATATTGTACGGCATGCCATACAATTGCTGAGAGAGCGTTCTATTTCTGTACATGTTAAATTCTTGCCAAAATATACAGTCTACTGTGCTGTCAAACCTCAAGAGACTTGATAATTTGAAATTCCTTTTGCTGATATGCTATCCCATCACTACAGTCTTTGCCAAAAGGCAAAAATATCTGACAGTTGTATTACCTAAAACATTTGCTGGTCCAAGAAATCTAATTTTACCAAACATGCCTTGCTGTGGGTGAGTGTACTTGCATTCTTAAGAAACTGCAGGTATGTGGTAGTGTACAGATGCCAGAGAGAATGTTTCTGCAAAGGTTAGAAGAACAGTTAGCTTCAAATTCTCCTCACACTTCTCAGTATACTACCATGTTACTTTGTCCACCTTAATGACAAGCTGCTGTTTGTTATCAGAGACTTGTGATAGAGGTTATGAGTTCTGCTTTGAATAGACCTCACAAAGATAAAACTTGTCATGAGTGTGTATCTAGAAATAAGTAGGTGAACTGCAGCATTGCTTGGACAAACTGTAGAGTTCAGAATTTGGGTCAGTCATAAAATTTGGCAGGGCAGGAGGAGGGAGTTGCAATCTGGGTGAGATATCTTATGACCAGTTTATGCAAATACAAGGTGATTAGGAACCTTATCTTCTCAGATCCCACCTTTTGTATTCATGTGATCAAACTGGCTGTGCAAGGGCAGCAAGGCTCAAGTGCTGATGCAGTGTTAACAAGAGACCAAATTCAGGTGTTAACACTCCAGTTGCTGGAGTCTTCTATTACTGAAGACAAAAACTTTTAAACTGCAATACAACTTGTTTCTCTTTCCTTCATCGGTGACTAAAATTGAAAAGAAAGTCATAATAAAGAAGCCAAAGTTGTTGCACTGTAAAAACAGAATCAGATAAACATGCTGATCTCAAAATTTTTATAAAATGCATTTGCATTCTTCTAATTAAATAAATTAGTTCACATCTTGTACTCTTTTTAAGAGCATAAGCTAAAAACTCTCTTATCCTCAGATATGAATTCATGGTGAAGATTTTTGACACTGCTTTCCTGTAATGCACATCTTGAATGGTCAGAATGTACAGATATTTCCCTCCGTCTGCTCTGAGCTTGCCTTTCAGTGCCAGAATTTCCATTTCTCATTTCCTTCTTTTATCATCACATCCCAGAATGGATGGTGAGAAGCTGACTTTACGAAAAAGGTCATGAATTTATTATTAATACTAAAAACACTTTCTTCATGTTTGCCAGTTTAGTAATGCACAGGAATAGATCTTGAATATTGTTACATTTGTAGCAACTCAGAATTCCTGGGGTATTGGTTCATTAAGGGAAGGACAACACGGCTATTCTTCAGGTGACTGACAAATCCACTTTGACTGTTACAATTTGTGGTCTTATCTTTTCAGTAAACCACAGCACATCCTTATGGTTATAGAGAGAGCAAGACACAATACTGAGCTGTGTCAGTCAGAGATGTGAGGAGAAACTGAGGCCCTACCATTCCACATAGACCTTTTCCTTTAAGATGAGTTGTAGGTCACTAGAATTGTGTGTAATTAGAATACACAAATAATAAGCCATGAAAATGTGAATCTGGAATAATAGAAAACACTGCTTTGCTGGGCATAAGAGTCTAATGGGATGATTTGTAAACAAATACATTGCAAACTCAGAGCACAAACTATGACTCCTTTCAGATGGGACTGAAGTGCTCCTGGTCACTCCACATCTTCCAACTACAGTTGGGCTTTTTGGTTCCAGGACTAGTCTAGAATGTGTCACCACTGTAGGTATCTGGTCTGCATGTCCATCTGAACAGATCATCTCCTACCTCACCTGTTATTGCAGTCGAAGCTGCTTTCTACTCATCCCAGGTCATACCAGCACTGGAGCTGCTCCCTGCAGCAGGTGAACCCCCTTCCCACAGGAGTCTCCCAGTCTATACAGTTTCTCATTTACTGTCTCGCTCTGGCTGCCTCAGGCTGTACCCTGGAAGTTTTTCCACTCTGAGCATGTCCAATTGCTCTCAGGATGAAGTGCTCCCCTTTCCCAGGCAAACAGGTGACTGTTCTTCATCCTGTAAAGGACTTGTTCAATATGCCTCTCCTAGAGACTGCATAGGAACTTATAATGTACACTGGTGTTCTTCAGGGACACTGGGCATTGCACCTGAGAACGAGATAACTGAAACAATGAAGTGTCTCTGCACCTTGTGGTTCCTGAGAAACTTAAAAAGTTAAAGAAAATAGTTCTGCTGCTGGTTAGAAATGTTATTTCCTGTCAGGTGAAAGGTGAACTCACAGACTTCAGGTTTTACCACCTGGAAGCACTGGTAGCTTTTTGGCAGTGGATGAAGTTTACAATCATGGTCAGCAGATACTGCAGTGTTGAGGGGGAAGTCTGATTTTGCATGCACCTGTTTCCAGGCATGGCTCGAATGGGAATAATGAAGCGCTCTTTGCAAAAACATTATGGGATGATGAGGGTGTTGGGATCTGTACAGCTGTCTTCCAAAATATGGCGTTACTATAAATTAGCCTGGCAACACCCCAGAGCAGAGCAGTGGGAAGCAATGAGTAACAGCTCCGCCTATAAAGAAAGGGACTGGAAAACAGTCAGCCTGAAAGGTTGATTACAAGCTTCCATAAAATAACATTATATCAGAGGAACTTATTAGGCAACCTGAGTATTTCACTGTGTCTGAGGAAATGAGTGAGCAACTGAGAAGAGCACATCAGAAGAAATAGAGAGGCTCATAGTTGGATCCTCTAATGCAAGGGGCCAAAGTGTACTGTTTAAGTTATATGGCTCTTCTGTGAAGCTTAGCTCTGCTGGTGTGAAGTGACTGATCGAAAGTGAAACTGGTATAGGGACTTTAATTTGGATCAATAGCAAGGAAATAAATAAAGTCAGGAGACCCCATTCAGTCCTTTCGACTCACTTGCATCCTCATCCAGTAACTACTTATGTGTGTATCTCTAGAATAGGTAATTTAGGGATCTTAATTGTTCTATAGGTACAGCATAAACTGGAAATAAAACATTTTCTACCCAGAAGAACTTACTGTCTGAGCAAGCAACCTAGGGAGAACTTGGTGTGGGGAAGGAAGAGGTGGCTCATGAATGCTTAGGAGCAGGGATGAAATTCTACCAGGAGGGGAATCTACTCAGAAGGGGTGGCAGTAGAGGAGAGAAACACTGAACTGAATGGACAAGACAGACTGGAGGGCAGAGGGAATGATCCCAGAACCCAGAGATAGGAGGGGAGAAGACAAACACCAATTCAAGTGAACAGCCCTAATCAGCAAAATGGTGAGAGGATTCAAAGTGGGAATGTGAAAAGTGATTAAGCATTGAAGGGGATTTCTAAACTCTGGCATATTTCTGTGTTCCACATAAGCTATACCCAAGTCCAAAAAACAAGGCTGCCATCATCGTGCATCTCGTTTTCCTATATGTTGCTGTGGAAGCAGTACCGCCTCTCCCCACACTGTCTCATCTATACAGCTCTTTAGAACTGAGGCTTCTTCTTACAAGCTTGTAGGAAGGCACCATGCTGAGTTCTTAGTGTTCACTAGGACATTGAGACATTATGATAAAATAGTAATAATGTAGAAATTATATAGAGAGAGACAGTGTATGACCAGACGAACCAATGTATGTAGATAGTATAGATAAAGACATCTTTGGCTATCTACCAGTTATTTCAAGTGAGATATTCCTGTGATCTTTCAATATATCACACCTTAGACATAGATGAAGCAACCTTTGAAGAACTGAAAACTTTACATGTATAGGATTGTAACAAAAGTATTCTAAAGCAGCACAACTCCTATGGAGTACATTAGCAGGTACAGGCTTTTTGAAAGTAGTTATATTCACCTTCTGCCTTGTATCCATAGTTACTAACATATACACCTAAAATCTGTAAGCTGTGTATCTGTGCTTCTTCAAATAGGGGTTGTTTCCCCAGTTTAAAGGGTATTTTTACTTGCGTTATGCAGACTCTGACTAGAATATGAAGTGGAATGAAGCTTTCATAAAATTATAGAATATGTTGAGTTGGAAGGGACCCCATCATCGTGTCCAACCCTTAATCCTGCACGGGACACCCAAGAATCACACCGTGTGCCTGAGAGCATTGTACAAACACCTCTTGAACTCAGACAGGCTTGGTGCTGTGACCACTTTCCTGGGGAGTCTGTTCCAGTGTTCAGCCACCCTCTGTGTGAAAAACCTTTTCTTGGTACCCAACCTAAACCTCTCCTGACTCAACTTCATAACATTTCCTTGGGTCCTGTCACTCGTTACAGGATCAGTATCTGTCCCTCATAAATATGTTAAAGTATGCAATGAGGTCCCCTGTCAGTCTCTTCTTCTCTAGGCTGAACCTGTGACTCTGTTTATTCTCTGAAATCTTTATTATTTTCATTAAGCGAAAAGATAAAGACTCAAGAATCCCTCACAAGGAAGCGTATTAAGCCATGTCACTACTGATAGCTATTTTTGTAGTATATCTGTTTAAAACCCCCACATCTTTGTCCATCTGCAGGTTTTGGATTACTTAACTTTTTATTTCATATAAATCATGCAAAACCCTCTCAGAATAACATGCTGAAGGCCAAGCCAGGGCAACACCTTATAAGGCATTTCATACCAGTTCCAACACGTGTCTCAGAAAACATCTGTGAGCACACGGAGTGCTTTCCGCTGATCATCATAGTACGTGAGTCAAGCCTGCAATGCCTGGGGAGAGGAGTTACTTCTTAAAATGTGTATGAAACTAAAATGGAGTTGAGAGAAACTGTCCTCTAAAAATGGAATTATTTTTCTGCCACTGTGAAGATCATTTAACTAGGATCTCTTAGGAAAAAAAAAAAAACACAGAAAATTCAAACAAAATGTCCTCAGATATTTTATGTTACCTGCCTAAGAAAATATTTCTTCTTATTTAAAGCAGAAGGAATGACGAGATGTCTGAATTTACCTAAAAATGAGAGTTTCATGTAAACAAACTGAAACCAAATAATGTTTAGTTCTGTAATAAATGCTTTTGGATTAGGCAACTGAAACTGAAATGTTACTGAATTAAATTTTTTGCTTTTAATTACAGGCAAATCATTGGTTAAACTTTCTAACTGACAAGTGGCTTTCCCCCTTCCCCACCCTTGTGCATTATATTTGTGGCACTCAAATAGGTTAATTTTTTTAAAAGGCACAAATAACCTATGCCCTTAAGGTGCCTACAAATGAGGTGCTTGATTCAGCCATTAGTGTGGGGTCAGCTGCACAATTCAGGCCTCAGTGAGTATATCCTCAAAATATGTGAAGAATTTGGAGCTGGAATTTAGGTTTGGGTCCCTTTCAAATTCACCATTTTCCAGAAAAGAGAGGAAGGAGTCATGCACTTCAGACTGAAAAGAGTCCTTCAAAAGTTTAATATTAGTCTTTTTCCAAATATTTCCTCAATTAGTTTTAGACTAAACTGTCTCATAGTCTTTTGGATTTCTTTATGGCTTTCTGGTAAAAGCACAATATAACAGAAGTGTGATATCATGGGTGACACACTGAGAATAATGCAGTGAGCACAGGGTTAAGAGGCTCCTTTCTACTCTGTTAAGAACTTTTCCCAGCAGAAACCATGGGAATCTGATATGATTACCAGCGTGCTTTCTGCAGAACTGTGTCATTATTGTTAACAGATTTTGCAGTAAGGAATACATGTGGCAACTTCCAGAAGAAGACATACTAGGCAAAGGGCTGAAACTCTGACCAGTAATTATTGCCAGCTCCTTCCTACCATTGCCTCCCACATCAACCACTAAAAGTGAAACTTCTTTGTGGGAGCTCCGGGCAGCAATTCCAAGAAATGTTTTTTATTATTTTTTTCAGAAACTACCTAAAATATTTTTGTAAATTTTAATAAGAAATATTTCAACCAGCCATGTGTTCAAGCTGTTGTTAATTCTTTCAGAACGATCTTCCTGTGAAAGTGGCTCATGAATGTTGCTGGTTTAAAAAAAAAAAGTAGGAATTAGGCTATTTATAGCTTTAATGACTAAGCATATAGACTGCAATAGTTATACATGAGAGGAATCTCATGATGTGAGACCATCTGGTAGTCTATGAAGGAGGCCAAAGGCAGTTTTCAGTGCACATCTGTAGGCCATCAGGTCGGGCATATCCC